TATACATATGTTTAGTACAACTGAATATACATTATACATATGTTTAGTACAACTGAATATACATTATACTTATGTTTAGTACAACTGAATATACATTATAAATATGTTTAGTACAACTGAATATACATTATACATATGTTTAGTACAACAGAATTTACATTATACATATGTTTACTACAACTGAATATACATTAATATATATGCTTAGTACAACTGAATATACATTATGTAACATATGTTTAGTGCAACTGAATATACATTATACATATGTTTAGTACAACTGAATATACATTATACATATGTTTAGTACAACTAAATATACATTATACATATGTTTAGTACAACTGAATATACATTATACATATGTTTAGTACAACTGAATATACATTATACATATGTTTAGTACAACTGAGCGAGAAATCAAAGACTGGGTTTCCGAAGTAGCAGAAGCACTTGATGTAGTAATTCCAGATGACAGGTTAGTAACCATAGTATTTTACAGTGCGGGAGGGGGATTGTTAGCCCCTTCCCCCCTCCCCTTAAATTATGTATTCGTCCCAGTTGTCATATAACTCGGACACAGTTTAATATTAATTTCTCGAGACAGAGACATTAGATAGAAATATTATTTGTCGCGATCAACTTCTATAATTTCTCCTTCCTTTCATTTTACCTTAACATCCCTTTTAAAAGGTATTTGATGTTGTTAGAAAGCAAATAGTTTTAGTTGTAGCTCAGTAAAATGGGTTTGTTTACACTGCACAAATGCTGCATCTCAAGTTCATCGCTTGTCGTCGTCCTGTTCCAGAAATTTCTAGTTCTCACTGTATTTTGCGAGATTTTGAGAAATTGCACAAAATGTTAATTTCTCATATTTAGACGAGGACGACCTTCTGGTCAGGCCATGGTGTACTTCAGAACAGAGTCAGAGGCCAAAGAGGTCGCCACAGAGATGCACAAACGAGATCTAGGTAATCTTAAAGGGACTGAATACATAATTTTAAGTGACCCTTCATTTAAAAAGGGCCATGCCCGATTCGTAACAGTACCTTTAAAACCTCACCTTTTCAATATTTCTGCTTATTTCTGCCTTTTCTTTCATTGTTTCTACAGCATATATCAACAAGTCATTTTTATATGAACATCAAAATGGAAATGACAGTTTCTAAAGAGACAAACATGGATATCTCAGTCATTCTTGTTCTTACAAAGCTTTTAAGAGTACCGTTCAAATCAAATCAAATCATAAGTTGTAGGGATGGCCAAAGGCTCCAGTTGTGCATTGTGAAATCTAGGGTTACTTCAGTTTAAGTTTATTTATTTATTTTCTCTCTCTAGTTTGATGGATTGTTGAAAAATTATCTCAACTTGTAACACTGACCAAAATGAAAAAATATATTTTTGAATTACCTAATTCTAATTTCACTGAATTTTGGTGTGGGGTGTGGGGGGTAAATATTTTTAATTTACAATAATTTTAAAATCTGTTAAGGAATTTAGTATAATTAAATTTTATGTTCTGTTTAGGGAAGAGGTATATAGAATGCTTCTATGAGCCTGACAAGGATAAAAAATGAACCCCCGGGTCTGGAATCCTGGCTACGTGTGAATATGTTCTCTGCATTCTTCTTTCTTCCTGTCACCTTTGTTATCAAGCTCAACTCGTGTTAAATATTTTTATGTAGGGTTACCCTCAAAGGCCGAGACGTTAGAGATGACTGTGCGGAACGTATTCTGTTTGTTTCCTAATATTCACGATTCCCTGCAAACTTGAAATCTTTGTTCCGCCAAATAATTAAATATTAGAATATTTATGGCAGAAATCTTAATTTAACCTTGGGATCGTCATAATATCTGAGTTTTACATCGTCTTTCTTGTCTCATCGTTGTTTGGTAACCCTGTCTTAGTGTTTTGTATTTATCTCATTTCACAGACTTTTTCCAGAAAATATGGCCGATACTGAGGTGGATTCGGCGGTCGCCCCGGCCGCCGATGCTGATGGCCATTCTTTGAAGGAGAAGGAGGAGAAGGTTAGTTAGGTTAAGTTAGTGTAATAACTATAAAATTAAATTGGAAAAGTGTTATGGCACTGTCGTCGTATACTAAGTGACCCTCTTCTTACCAAGGGTATACCATAAGAGAATAGAATATATATTAGAGGGGAATTTACTAGAAAAAAGTGTAAAACGGTCTTTTTGTTGTACTGTTTCCATACTGCAGGTATACTTCACATATTTGTGCTATATAACCTTTTGGGCCCTGCAACATCATCTTACAGAAAAGTTTTCTTGAAAATTATTTGATTTTCTGTAAATCAATTCTCTGATAGCCTGTCATGCACACGTGGATAAAAATCAATCTAAATTTATTTTTCATTAAAAACATATTCCTATAATGATACCCAATATTTTAGAAATATTCAAGATATCAAAATATGGAAAAAAATTACACCAAAATTGAGGATGTTCATAAACTTAAAATTTTAAATTCATTTTATACAGTTGGACCCTCTGTTATACAGTTATAAAACTCTGGAAGAGAAGGTCGAAATTTAAATATGTTTCATATTTGATGGGTTAGTTAAACTTTTAGCTTGAGTCTAAACACAGTTAAACAAACTGTTATACTTTGTGTACCCATAAAGATCAACGACTATTTAATTTACAAGATTCTGGTCTGGTGCTCCCTAAAATGTGAAGGACCATTTATGAAAAATACCACTGCAGACACTGTGTAACTGTAGAGTTTGGAGGAAATTTTAGAGACAACTGACAGTACAGAATTAATTTAGTCTTTCTCTTTACATTTATCCCCGTATGCTCGTTATTCCAAATAGACTGGTTTCATAATTGAGTAATTGACCAATGATCATTTCACATAGACTCTATGCCTTTCACTTTACTAACGATGATTTTCCGTTATAACTATAAATCAAATGATGTTTTTTATTCACCTAATTCATTTTATAAAGTTTATGTATCAGCTTTAAAAAATTCGAAAGTGAAATGGATAGTCTAGGGAACACACTGTATTAATGTACTCTACTGCATATAATTTGTGAACATTTACATGATTTGTACACTTTGAACTCCCTTTCAGGCTAAAAAAATTCATACCGAGAGATGGTCTAAATTCCCCTCTAATATATATTCTATTCTCTATGGGTATACCGGCCGATTCACAATTAGACTCTTGAAAACTTGATAGATCGTTAATATTGTGTTTTATTCTGATAATAAGTAACTGCAGAGAAAATACAAACGAAAATGAACAAAAACATGTGAACCAACTATTCTGACCGTAAAGGAAGGATACAGCTATGAGAATTTAAGCAAATTAAATGGAATGAACAAAAAGAAAATATCGCCGAAAGATAAAATTTTTTCACTTTCCTAGGATATTGTTGAGAGTTCAAAAACTGAAGAACCTGTTAAACCTGAGATCAAACCTGAAGAATCTGAATCCAAACCAGAACCTAAACCAGAACCTAAACCAGAACCTGCACCTCTTATAGTGCTCTCCACTCTGTCTGGAGCAGAGAAATCCTCATCTCAGGGTGGGTACCCCCCTCCCCATTTCCTGTTATATTTTTTCTTAAAATGTTTTTTTTATATAATTGTTATTGTGTAGAAGTTGAGGCGGTAGTAGCAGCTAAACAAGCTGAAGACACAAAACCCACTGTTGAACCATCCGCCGCAAAAGAAGAATCGGTGAAAGATGATGCTGAGAGTGAGGAGAGTGAAAGTGATGATGATGATGAAGAGGCTGAAGATGAGGATGATGAAGAGGATGAACCACCCCAGAAAACTGTTCGAACTCCCGCCAAAACCCCGGCCAGAAAAGCTGTACCGGCACGGACCCCGGTCAATGCCACGACCAAGTTAGATTCTACGGTAAAGAAACGTGGTCGGCCGTCTCGAGCAGATATTCAAGAGAGAGAAAAGGAGAGAGAAGCAGCTCTAGCTCGAGGAGAACCAGACCCAGAGCTGAAAAGAAAACGAAGAAAACCAAACAAACTTATTGATGCTGCAAGTGAGGAGGAGGAGGAGGAGTCGAAAACAAAGAAGAGTAGAAAGATTAAGGAAGAAAGCACCGAAGAAAGTGACACTGAGAAGAAACCCAAGAAGAAAGGAAAAGGGAGAAAGGTTTTGACCGCTAAAGAATTAGAGGAGAGGGATAAAGAGAGAAAGAGGAAATATCATGAGCAGAAGCAAATAGCCAAGGAGAAGAAAGAGAGAAGAGAGAAATACTTGATAATGAAAAGAGAAGAGAAGAAACAACAGAAGCTGGAAGAAAAACAGCGGATAATTGAGCACGACAAGAGGATGGCTGAACTCCGTGCTCAGTATCTTGATGACAACGCTATGGATGGAACCCATGGGTCGGCTGGAGGACCTTGTACTCCGGCGGAGTTCATGATGGATGAAAACTCCCAGTCCAGTATGGGTAGCATGTCTGCCTCTGTGTCGAAGAAGCGTAAATGCTGGGGGGATGTTGGAGTACAAGAAATGAAGGGATCTCACAACCCTTTGGCTCATGTGACCGCGGACACATTGTTTGAGTACAAGTGGCCACTGGAGGGACGCAACTCTGAGCATTATTTCTTACAAGAGCAGGTGACAGAGTACCTTCAGGTCAAGAGCTTCAAGCGGAAGTACCCAGACTGTCCCAGGCGACTGGTCGACATGGAAGAGAGGGATTTTCTCATGGAGATGAAGATCGTCAACGAGATGCAGGCCGATCTCGGGCTCACAGCGATCCCGTCCAGCGCAGTGTTAGACATCATGTGCCAGGACTTCTACGATAAGTACGAGTACTATATGGGTGTTCTGAATGAGAGAAAGGAGAGGAGTTTACGCAACTGTAACTACAGCTCCGGAGGAGGTGATGTTAAAGTTGAGGAAGCTGCTAAAATTGCTGCTGAATACAACAAGCAGCTGAACCTGGAGCGTAAAAGGGATAGAAGTTCACACTTTGACATGCAAACCTTTACTGTTCATTATCCAAGGACAGGTAAGGGTCGGATGAAGGTATTGGCCCGACCTAAACTAGGAAATTATCCGATTGGCCTGATCCCTGGACAGTTTGTGGACTCCTTCAAGTCCTACTCCAGCAAGGAGCTCAAGTACTTCCCTCTCAATACCGTGATGGTAGCTCCACCCAAACCCGGAGTAACTCTGAAGGATCTGAACCTTGGCTCCGAGGGGTCAGAGTCTGACAGTGACAGTTCTAGCTCCGGGTCTAGTGATGACTCCGACAGTGAGAGTGAGGTTGAGAAAACCACCCGGAGCGGGAAGAAGCTGAACTCTGTCAAGAATGAGACTCCGGAACTGAAAGAAGAGGCTCAGGTTCCGGCTCCGGAGACCAAACCAAACCAGGTGGAGGAGGTTCGACCAAACGCAATCTGTAAAATGTGCCAGGTTAGAGTTTAACTTCTTATTTGGTCTGAAATTTTATTTACGTTTTCTCTTTATACAGGGAGACTATCTGAATTTATATCTTATTACGTACTTTTCGTAATTTCGCATCTAACAATGGGCTGAGTATTAAAAATTCATAGGATGTCCGATCCGTAAACGTTTTTGTTTTCGTTAAAAAGTATTTTTCTTTTGTAAGCAATGTTTTGAAAGCATATTTCAATTTTAATTCAGTGTTACTTTTACTTCGTCCTGTAAAGTGTATAAAATTAATTTTTCTCGTCATACACGAATAAAAAATATAATGATTTAAATGATGATTTTTTATCTTAAACCAATCTAACTTTTCTTATCAAAGAAACATTTTTCAAAACTGAGATGTTGAATTTTACCTTAGACGAGAAGTCTTTTTCTACTTTACTCTAAAAGAGAGGTCTTTTTCTTTTCATGTCAGATCCTATTCCATGTCTCAGTGTTGTTAAGTTTTTACTAGTCTAAATTTCATACCTTAAATTAGAGAGTAAACTGCAAGAAGCATTTTATATATATATTTATATATTTATATAAATGAATATTCGTGTATTTTTATCATTATTACATATTTTTCTCAGTTCTTTACCGTTTTTGTTTCAATAAAAAGTTTGAAAGAGAGAGATAATTTTCTAAAAAAAAAGTAAACAGTCCCTTTAATAATATTATTATTTAGGGGAATGTTGGGCAGAATAAGCTAGGTTTAGCTGAGATGATGTTGAACTGTACAAAGTGCGCGCAGTCCTGCCATCCGACCTGTGCAGGTCTACACCTAGATCTACTGCAGTACGTTACAGGGTACAACTGGGAGTGTACAGACTGTAAGATGTGTCTCAAGTGCAAGGTAATTAATTACAATTAGAAAATGCTAAAAGTTCAAAGCATTAAATATTTAACTTTAATAAGTTAACCTAACTCCATTTTACATTAAGAACTATAAAAAGATTGTTACTTAAACTTTTATACTGAAAATTTATGTGATTCTGTAAATGATAAAAGAGCATAAAAAATACAAGCATAACAATCAATATTCAATAGTCATGGCATGACCATTGACCATGATAACGCCAAGTACAAGAGACTTGACCATGGCTATAATCATTGATGATTGCTCAGTCCCATGACCGTCACTATGGCCATAAACTTGATTTGATCACGTCCATAATCAAAGCAATGACCATGAGCATATTGTAGGATCCCTCGGACGAGGACAAGATGTTGTTCTGTGATCTGTGTGACCGTGGATACCATATTTACTGTGTAGGACTGCAGGAGGTAACATGGCTCATTTCAATGGTTTAATTTAGGATTTAAAACCAGCATTTATTAATTGATTGGCAATTTTTTAAACTAATAGAAGCTTTAATATTGCAACATGGCTCAAATTTTGCCGTTTAGTGGGACCGATTTAAAAATGTTATAGCACCAGGAAAGGTCCAGTCTGAATAAAAAACAATGTTCATTAAGAACTTTAAACTTCGATCTAAAACTTCCAAGCTGTTGGTTTAATTTAGTATTGTAAAAATATATATTGATTTGATATTTTTCTTTACCTAACTGAGAAAAAAAGAAAAATAAAAGAAATTTGGTTAAAATTTAATCGTGTTTCAAGAAGTTGTTTTTTTGATAATCTTGGGATAAAATATTTTATTATTGTTTATTGTTGATTAATCCTCAGGAACTCAAATAGAGTTTTTATGAGGATGATTTTGTTGACTTAAGAGTTGCTGATTGTTCTTTCTGGTTTAATTTTTTTTCTTAGTTTTGCATGTCTCTCACAGCAGGTCATGGATTCTTTCTATATTCATCGTATCTTCTTTTGAAGATACTCACTGTAGAAGATTCGTTGATGACTGATGGAATCGAGTTCCATTTTCTGGTTTACCCGAACACTGTAGAAATTACTTCTTACATTAGTTCTGGAGATCTGGATTTCAAGATTTAAAGGGTCTGTTGCATTTCTAGTAACTCGACTGTGGTTGACCCTGCTAAACCAAGTTGATGGATTTACATCACTGAAACCTTGAAGTATTTTGAATGGTTGAATCATGTCAGCACGTTCTCTTCTTTCCTTTAGCGAAAGCAGGTTTAACTCTTTCGATTTTTCTTCATAAGATTCACTATGGAGACCGGAAATCATGTGTGTGTTTTTTCTTCATAAAAATCATTTTTAATAATTTTTAGCTANTTATTGTTCAAGGTTCCTAGCGGGCGATGGCATTGTTTCAACTGTACAGCTTGTATCTCATGTGGAGCAACTACACCCTTCGAGGATGGAAAGGTAAAAATCGCCTGGGTAAATTTTTTAAAATCTCTTCAGAGCTTTTAATCTGAATTAAGAAATTTCATGTTTAGAAAGGTAAATCTGGGATATTTTTTTTGAAGTTTTGGTAAAAACTTTTATTTTGATTTCAATTAGTCTTTTTTTCTTTTTCTGAAAGTTAATTATTTCCAAACTAGAATTCAAAAATAAATATGATCAGCAGAAATCTTAATTGAAAAGGAAAATGGAAATGTTTTCATGATGAGACATGGGAAGGAAATAATAATGCAGAGAGGAACTGACGTAAGCTTAAGTCTAATCTCTCCAGATTTATTGTTATTGTTATTGTTATTGTTATTGTTTAGACCTGGAAGAAAGGACTGTACTGCCCTGAGTGTAATGGTGTGTTTGACCGGAGTAAGAAAACTCTATCAAGGTTAGAAACTGTTCTTCTTAACTTAAAGGGACTGTTAGCGTAATTTCGAGTGACCCTCTTTGTAAAGATGGCATTGTCCGACACACAACGGTACCCTTGAAACTTTTATCTGTTCAATAATGTAAAAGATTTTATAGTTTTTCTAGGTTTAAAAGTGTAAGCTGCAGTAATTTTAATTATATTTTTATCTGTTATTGCCTCTAAAGAAGTGCTACTGAAACGAGCTGACAAGCTTAGTTTGATGCTAGATCAGTGGATGGTCTTGGCAAGAGCATATTAAATAACGGTAACCTCTATACTTCACCTAAAGGGTTGACAGATACCAACCAACCAATGGTTTAATTGGTTAGCCAACTGACTAGAATGTATCAACTTTATCTCTCTTGCTTTGGACTAAATGATGGGGATTTAAAGGTCCAGTTAGAACAGGGGCGGGGCAGTGCACCCTGCTGCCTGGGCGGTCTGGGGGGCCCACAATGGGGTCTCTTGCAGATTTCACTTCCTTATGATTCCTTATATATTGTTTAATTTGTTATAATGTTTACTGCAGAAAAACATATGATTAGATTTGAAGTTCAGACAATTCCCTAAATGTGTTCCTGCTGTCGAAATACTCATTTCACGTGACCAAAATCAAAAGTAATCATAAAATAATAAGTTTTCAAAATTATAAACATAATTATCTATCACTTGAAATTACGCTTAAATTCCCTTTAAGAGAAAATATATTCCAAATCAAAAGGAACTGAGTATTATTCACCTCAATCTCTAATTTTCTAATTCATATGTCGTTGCAGCCTGCTGGTGAAAACCTTTATATTTTAAGCTACTTGATTTTGCAGAATTTATAGAATTAAATAACAAAGGTCTATGACATTAGGTAGCAAAAATATAAGGATTAGACAGTTAGAACATTATTAGAGTAATCATTTAATTTTCATTGAATCTTATTCACTCACACACAAATCTTGTAGAAACTTTTTCAAGAAGTTTTGATTTAAAAAAAAAGTTAATATAATTATTTTTATGTTTTGCAATGATTATTGGAACAGGAAATGTTTTTAAAAAGAGCAAATCATTTCAAATAACAAGCTTTTGTCTTAAAGAAAAATTGATAATTTTTGTCCTTTTAAAAAACTATTTTTTTCAGTTGTTGGGTGTGTACTCGTCAGTACCACACTACATGTGTTGGGTTGGAGAAGGAGAATGAGAAGTTTATCTGTGGATCCTGTCAGAGAAAGGTTCAAGAGAGAACCCTAGGTTCTAGATCCAACCAGGGCGGAGTTAAAAACATGGATACGCCCTCCAGGCAGGATAAGTTCAACTCATCCTACAGTAAGACACCTGTTACAAGCAGCTTCTCAAGGTACTTACTTTACCCTACCTAGTCTTACTTCACTCACTACCTAGTCTTACTTCACTCANATCCGGGTTATCAATCAATCAATATATTAACTGGTTTATCAATCAACTAACTGGTTTATCAGCCATCAAGTTTATCATCAAGTTATCAATCATCTGGTTTGTTAATCCATCATCGAATTTATCAATGAATCTCACTGCCTAGTCTTACTTCACTCACTACCTAGTCTTACTTCACTCACTACCTAGTCTTACTTCACTCACTGCCTAGTCTTACTTCACTCACTAACTAGTCTTACTTTACTCACTGCCTAGTCTTACTTCACTCACTGCCTAGTCTTACTTCACTCACCACCTAGTCTTACTTCACTCACTACCTAGTCTTACATCACTCCCTACCTAGTCTTAATTCACTTACTACCTAGTCTTACTTCACTCACTAACTAGTCTTACTTTACTCACTGCCTAGTCTTACTTCACTCACTGCCTAGTCTTACTTCACTCACTACCTAGTCTTACTTAACGTTAAACTATTTTAAATTATAACTTCAGTCCAACAGTCATGTTCCCATTTCAAAATTTTAATAGATTTATCAAAATCAATCTAAATCTGCAAGTTTTATAATTGAAAATACAGAATTAGAAACAGTTTAAATTATTTATCGTTTGACTTTTATTCTTTCTTTCAGGTCTGGACGCCGAGTTACGCAAATCAATTTTGCAAACCAGTTTTAAACTATTCACACTCGGCAGAAAATAAACTAGAACTCTAATTTTTCCAATTTTTAAACGCATTTAATGTAAGCAAATATAAGCACTGTGGAATGTGGAAGACATTGTTAATTTTCTTATAAATGTATGATTTTCCGTAATAGTTTCAATGTCGAGGTTTTATAAGGTAAAGTTGCCCTTCTTAAAGGAACCGTGAAAAATTCCGTGAAAATTTCATTTTCACCAGTATGATGATTCAAGTAATTGAATTGTAACAATTAAACCATTACTCTGCAGTCTGCATTGCATCAGTTAGTGGTTCCCTACAAATCTCATATTTTTTATTTGCATGCTAACAATTTTAAGAGAGAAAAAAATTAAAAAGTTAAAATTATTTGTAAAGGAACTTTTTATGTAACTTTGTAACATTTCTTTAACTGTTGTACACTATTTTTTTTGTTTATTTACTGCATTAAAATCAAGATATTTGTACCTTGTTAAACTTAAAATAATATGAGTAAATCAGAATGAAAAAACGTCAACTTTTTTACTTATATTTTAGTTTTTAAACCTTTTGTACTTTTCAGAAGAATGTTGATTTTGTGAAAGTAAATTTACGAAATATGTTAGATCCAGGAATCAGTAGTTCTGAATGGTCAATGCAAATAAACCTGATCTGAAGTTCGAGTTGGATCCCGATTGTTAATATATTTACAAAAACGGACAAACTTTTATATAAATCTTGTGTTGAAGAAGGGTCCTATCCTCGGGTGCTGAAGTGACAGTTCTCCAAAATGGATCCGGTTTATCAGGAGAAACATCGACAGTTTGTGGCGAGTAACAATGGGTCAACAATTCCGGAGATAATTGTAGCAGGTTGGATTCAAATACTTGGTGGAAAATCGTCTCCATAGTTATCTCTTATTGTGAGACTAAAATAAGATATGTAAGGAACAATTTATCTACGAGAATAGGACATTTACATTAAAAAAATAATATCGACAATTCGACCGTCTAACATTAGAGTCGACTGTTGAGAATAAGGGATTTAGACTCAAGACATGTTCAGAGAAATCTTTTATTGCACGAGATATTATCGATGATTTTTTAAAGTGAAGATTGACATAATCGGTTAATTTGAAGATCAGAAATTAAATTTATCTTTTTTATTTTTGTTAAGGTTTCAAAGGTTACAATTGTAAATTGCTTGTAACAGCATTTTATCACTAAAAAATCCAAATTAATTTCCCACAGTCCTGATTTGACACAAAACTTTAAATAATTTGTCAATTTGTTATTGTAATTAGCTTTTACAAGTTATCCTCTGAATAAACCAAGGTTGTTCTTGTTCTCATGGAAGAACTTGCCAGAAATCAACCCATTGGAAAAATTAACAACTTTTCAAAAGTACTTTTCAAAAGTACTAACCAAAAGTACTAACCAAAATACTAACCAAAAGTACTAACCAAAAGTACTTTTCAAAAGTACTTTTCAAAAGTACTAACCAAAAGTACTAACCAAAAGTACTAACCAAAAGTACTTTTCAAAAGTACTAACCAAAAGTACTAACCAAAAGTACTAACCAAAAGTACTAACCAAAAGTACTAACCAAAAAAAGAATATAAATAATTTTAAAATTCTTCTTTTGTTTAGAAAATCAGTAAATCTCAAAGAAATAGTTTAGAGAAATAAAAATGAAAAATCGGACATCAACGGCCGCTATTTATAACTAACTTTCTGATACTTGTTATCAAGAATTTCTTTATTGTCCAATTAAATTCTTTTATTTTCCCTTATTGAGCAAGAAGAACAATTTTTTTTTTGTTGCTCCGCGCATTTTTCAATGAAGTTTAAATTCCTGGTTTTCTGCTCAGGCTTGTCCCTGCACCTGAGCCCTCTGTTGGTTGGGTTGATCTCCCTGCTGCCCTGGTGGTCCAGCACTCTACCCTGGAGAACACTGGAACTCTTCATCATCCTCATCCCACCCCTCCTCTCCCTTACTATACTAGCAGGGACTCAGACTCATAGTTCAAATCAAATCATAAATTTTCTGTAGTAATAAATATAACCGATATTATCAAAACATAAGTACGACAAGTATATTTAAAACTACTGCTGTGGGAGAGTTTAAATAGATTTCTACAAAGCCGGACCCTGTAATCCTTAAGATATATATTTTTTGATGAAGGTAAGAGATGGCAGTACGTACATGGTAGAATAGGTTCATGGTATTCAGGTAAACTGAAATAGACTTAACCAGGGACTCTGCCACATTTAAAAGGACTGTAAACGTAATTTCAAGTGACCCTCCATTCCCATGTCTTAGTTGCATAAATCCACCAGTCTCTTTTTCAAAGAAACCACAGTTAAAGATAATCAAATTTTGTTCAGAAAAACTAGAATGATAAAGGGTATGTAAAAGTACGAATTTCATGTCGAACTTACAAAGATTCCCGGCCCTTAAAACTTGGATTTTTTTCTTCAATATTTTTAGAACTTCTCTAAATATGTGACTTACGGATTTATGCTGCTGAGATAAGGTAGAAAATAAAAAAAAATTAAATCTTGAAATTTTGTGTTTTATAGTCCCTCTAAGTGTTAATGAGGTCTGATGGGGGAGGGGGGATGGAATCTGACCCCCCCCCCTGATAGTGGAAATTATGTTTTTAAGAGCGAGGATTTACTTTTTCCCGAGGATTATAAAAGACGGAGAAGGTTTTAATAAAATGTTTTCTTGAATTATAAGTCTGGTGATCTAGAGAGCCCTGAGGTTCTAAACCTAAGTCTAGCCGTAGCGTCAATTCTTGTCCTACTTGTAATAATTTCAAAGGTAAATTCATCATTTTTAGGTAAAAATAATTTGAAAGATATTTAGATGAAAAATAATTTGAAAGATATTTAGATGAAAAATAATTTGAAAGATATTTAGACGAAAAATAATTTGAAAGATATTCAGGTTAAAAATAATTTGAAAGTTATTTAGGATAAAAATTATTTGAAAGACATTCAGGTTCAAAATAATTTGAAAGATTTTCAGGTTAAAAATAATTTGAAAGATATTCAGGTTAAAAATGATTTAAAAGATATTTAGACGAAAATTTTTGTTTAAATATTTAGGTTAAAAATAATTTACAAAGTATTTAGGTAACACATAATTTGAAAGACATTTAAGTGAAAAGTAAATTGAAAGATAATTAGGCTGAAAAAATAATTTGAAAGATATTCAGGTGGAAAAAATTAAGAGATGAAAAATTAGTTAATGATAGTGATATGTAAAGTAATCTGAAAGATAATTAAGTTAAAAATAAATTTAAAAATATTTAGGTGAAAAATAAATTTAAAATATTGGTGAAAATAATTTGAAAGATAAATAAAATCTACAGCAGATTACCGATGCTTCACTCAAAAGTCAACTACATAAATTGATTTCTTTAAAGAGGACTTTCGGGGTAAATTCAAGTAAATTCCATTTAAAGAGAAGACTGGAGCATTCCCGATTCACCTTGAAACAATTTTAACCTTTGTCTGAACAATAACTAATTTTTTAAAATCATCTTTTCTTTGTTAAGATTTATATTTCTAGTTGTGCTTTCTTTTAATAAATTGACATGCAGATTTATACCGCAGAGACAAAGAACTAAATTCAACACTTTCTAAGATAGCGTTGTGAATTGGACATGTCAGTTTTTAAATGGAAGGTCACTACAAATCACGTCTATGACAGTTCCTTTTATATTAAAAATTATTAAAGGGACTAAATTAATCTGTAAGTCTTTGAATTTAGTAAAAATACTTGTTTAGTATTTTCTAAATCTGTAAATTCTTGAATTTAGTGAAAATACTTGTTTAGAAGAAAGGATCGAGAGATGTTAGAAGACTATGGGATTTTAAACTCACAGAGGTAAAACATTTTTGATTTTACTCGCTCTTATCATTGCCACCAAATTTTCTCTTTACCTCCGACAATATTGCCAGATTAATCGCCTCATTAATTTTGAACACACTTCTTGTCTTTCAGTTGTAATTCAATACAGTTAAAAATAGTTTTGTTAAGGATGGTATTCTCTGTTCTATTCTCAACTTCAGATCCTCCATGCTTCTTGTCACCGCCATCTGTATCCTTGCGGTCGACTTTCCCGTTTTCCCGCGCAAATTCGGGAAGACAGAGACTTATGGATACGGACTGATGGATTTAGGGGTTGGCGGATTTGTATTCGCGGCAGGGCTTACTTCAAGTGTAAGTTTGGCTGAAGCGCAAATTTTGTTTTGTGCTCAAAGTAAATTCTTCATTTTTTTTGGCGCTAAAAAGCAAATATAAGAAAGTTTCTTTATGCATTTATGTAATTTACGATTTGCCATAATTTCTCTCGTTTGCTTCCACGTAAACCAATCAGAAAAACCAATTAATTTTTTTTTAAAAATTACAGTTGAAATTATATATTGTTTCTTAGGAAGGTCGGAGAAAGGAATGCAGTTTATTTAAAACAGTAAAATCTTGCTTCCCTCTGCTTATCCTGGGAGCGTTTAGACTAATAGGTAAAACCATCCAAAAAATAAGAATAGACATTGTGTTTTTTAAATTACATTTATTAGATGTTTTTTTTTAAATTTTGGTCGGGATTTGCCTATTATTTTGTTTTCACAATTAAAGGGTCTGTAAGCAAAATTTCAAGGAACCTTATATACAAAAATTGTCAAAGCATTAAATTTTGAAAACTGATTATTTTTAATTTTGAGTTCTCTAATGCAGAAAAACAAAGAAATTATCACAATTAAAGGGAGTGTTCGCGTAAAATGAAAGGGGGTATAGGCTTTATGCGATAAAAAAGCGCTTCTGATCGCTACTAATCTTACTTCTATCCGTTGTGTCTATAAGGAGAAAATTGTTAAAAACGACTTATACCGAAGAACGTAGTGTCCATTTCGATCAAAGGCGCTTTTTTATCGCATTAAGCCTATACCCCCTTTCATTTTTCGCGAACACTCCCTTTAAACACTTTAAAAACGACAATATCTTCCATATTGTTGATAAGAAGTCGGACATTGCTATCTTTTGATGAATGATCAATTAAAATTATGCTTACAGGCCCTTTAAACACAGAATCATAAATTCTTGTCAAGATTTGAATGTTAAATGTTTAAGTGTTGAGTTGGACTGGATATCACACGAATATAACAGAATACGGGAAACATTGGAATTTCTTTTTTACTCTGTTTTCAGTCAAGGTATTTTTTTTTTTAAATTTCAAAATTTTATTCAGCAGGTTCATCGTTACGAGAGCGTTGGAATTTATATATTTACTACCTTGGGAACCCAGCGCTGCCAAGGTTACTGAAAGTTACTCCCGCCGTTTACCCGCACTTCAACGATTTTTATCGGGAAACAAGATTTAAGTCGACCCAACCAATTTTGAATCTCAAAACCAAGCTAAGAACATTCCCGTGGGTCTCCTCAGTTTAACAATAAAAACAAAGCGATCCATGGGTTCCTGAGTTATGATCGGACAAACAAACCAATCAACAAACAGCGATTACAACTTTATATATATATATAATTAAATACCAGACCTTAAAGGTGCATTGCTCCCTCCTCTCTCTTTTAGTAACTGTACCTTTTGAACTTTTTCTTCATATAGATTTTCTCATAATTAAAAGTGGATTTTCAAAAAATATATTCTTTGATTTTTTGCTAATTTTACTGTTATTAAGGTTCTCGGAAGTTTGGTGATCCCATTAATTCCAGGTAATTTAGATCAATATTCATTTTAAAGTTATTAAAAATTCCTGATATAGAGAAGAACAGTCCGTTTCACAACTGTATCTTTTTATTAGCTTTCGTCTGATTATTAATGAATGAGATATTGAGGTATTCTAGTTTTTCACTGAAAACTGATCAGTTCTCTACGGACTGAAGTATCAGAGACGATATCTTCCTTCTTAATTGTTATGGTCGTAAATCGGCCATGCTTTTTGAAATTACGCCTGCACTCTACAGTTCCTTCATAAATAGAAACTTTTGTAAAATATGGTTTCCTCCGTGCTTAGGCATTTTAATTTTTCAATAGATTTTGCAGTATTTTGTTTCCGTGAATTTTCCGTGAATTTCCGTGAGATATTTGATCCCACATAAACCTAAAGAAAACTGACAAACAAGGGGAAAATATATTTAATGTTTAAGTTGATCCGAAAGGAGTTTCTCTATGGGTTAGTTCTGTGGTCCTCGCTGTTCTTTATGAAGGGGTTCTCTCATTTGGATTAGGTAGTACAGTCAGACCTGTAAATATTCGGAACAAGTTGATTTCAAGTTTCTGGTAAAAATAATATGTCACATTAACAAATACACAAACGATTGAATGAATTTCGTCTCCCTATTCCACAGTTTTATGAGTCCCACTTTATTTAATAATAGTAATTTATCTTTTTTCAATCTTTTCCGTTCCGGGAAAAAAATGCTAAAAGCATGAAAGATTTAAAAGTTATTTTTTTACGAATTGAAGATGCAAATTTAACTCTCTTTTTTTGTTTGGGGGGGGGGGGATTTCATGCACAGACTTGCAGAAGAGGTGGCCTATTTATATACAATTGAAGTAATGACACAGTCAATATTAAATGTTTAGAGGAAATGTCTATTTGAAAGTACCCATATTACCTGCTCAAAAAGGTTCCAAAGAGGCTGAATTTTTTTAAATGGTGAACCTAAATTTGAAATAGGTGATCAGTCCCTTTAAGGAAAATAATAATATTACGTTGACATATCCTTTAAGTTGACTGGTTGGTGCTGGATGGACCACGTGAAGGACTTCTGGACTCTAACAGGGAGGGGATCTTCTCCGTGGCGGGGTTCCTCGCCATCTACCTCGCAGGGGTGTCCTGGGCCAGGGGCATCATACACACTCCATTCACATTCACAACGTAAATTCATTCATATATTGTTCCAACTCGTAGGTTTGTACAATATATATTTACATGTATTTTATAATTAATAACATGCATCATGTAACATAGTTGTTAAAATTATGAAATTACACACCATACACAATACAATTTACACTTTATTCATCTATTATTTTGGGTAAAAATCTGTTAATTTTGGGTTGAGGGGGGGGGGGAATGGGCTAATTTGGGGTTAAAATTTGACTTATTGTGGATTAAAATGCAATTTAACTGGAATACCCTATTTTATGGTCTGTATACTAATAGTTAGACTAGTAAATGTACTGCAAGATGTTATTGTATGGTCTTTACTAATGTTTAGACTAGTAAATGTACTGCAAGATGTTATTGTATGGTCTATACTAATGTTTAGACTAGTAAATGTACTGCAAGATGTTATTGTATGGTCTGTACTAATGTTTAGACTAGTAAATGTACTGCAAGATATTATTGTATGGTCTGTACTTATGTTTAGATTAGTAAATGTACTTCAAGATGTTATTGTATTGTCTATACTAATGTTTAGACTAGTAAATGTACTGCAAGATGTTATTGTATGGTCTATACTAATGTTTAGACTAGTAAATGTACTGCAAGATGTTATTGTATTGTCTGTACTAATGTTTAGACTAGTAAATGTACTGCAAGATGTTATTGTATGGTCTATACTAATGTGGTTTTCTCTGCTCTACTCAACCACCTTCTTCCTCCCTCCCTCTAGAAGGTAAAAGACCATTTTTGTTTCCCCTAAAATCACAGATTAACTAGTTTCTTTTTTTACTATTTAACAGTTCTCTTTAAGCCTTTATCTTTTCAACATTTTAGAAGATATCGTCGTTTTTCTAGCTGAAAATGATAAATTTTCCTTGACTTGCTTCTGTAAATATGAAAAACCCGAAATTGAAAATATACAATTTTGAAAGATAAAACAATAGCGTGGACATCTCATTCATTCCTGATTAGATAAAAGTTTAAAGGTATCGTTGTGAACCGGACATGCAACTCTATAAATGGAAGGTTACATGTAAGTACGTTGACTGCGACCACTTTTCTTTTCTTATTCGTGACATTTGTGCAGAAAAAAATCTCATTATGTTTTTTTCCTAAGAAAAAAAACATAGGAAAAAAACATTATATTTGTTAAAATGAAAGAAGAAACCAAGGATAAATAATAAACGAATAATTACGCAATATTAAAACTGATAATAATGACAATGTTTAGGTTCGCTAACTACACCTTCTTCACTTTTGTAATTGCGTACAATTTGAGCATCCTCGCAGGGTTCATGGTTATAGAGGCCGCCATTCTTGTCCTCGGGGAGTGGAGGGTAAGTTTAAATTGCATTCCCCAAAAGTGTTAAATATGTTGAAGGCAATAAGGATTTTTACTATAAAAGTACTCTAAAAGCAGTGCTTGAGATCCGCAACACTTTGGCTTCTTGGATTCGAAAGGGGCAAAATATCAACCATAGTATGATAAATAAATATGTTCTCTCTTTAAAAAAAAAATCTCAACTGTTAAAGGGACTCTTAATGTAAACTGAAAGGGGGTAAAGACTAAAACCTAAAAATTTTGTGAGTTTATGGAGACCAATCTAAATTCTATCTGATGTCTCTGAATTGAATGTCCAAGTTATACAAAAACTCGAATATATATGTGATATGGTATTTGAATCTAAGTTTAAACAGAGCAAATTTCGATAACTCAGAAGTGCCTAGAAATTTGAATGTTAAAATTTTTCATTTAAAGGGTTCCTTTAAAATTATACGGTAGTACTTTTGATGACTGAAGATTTTTTATCGCTAGGTGTCTATATATTTCTGGGATTATGCTTGCACCTTGCAGCCAAAAAAACAACGTTAGATTTTAAAAAGAAACCTAAAAATGTCAAAGTATAAAATTTAAAATTATAGGAGCTTATCTAAAATGATAGGAGCTTATCTAAAATGATAGGAGCTTACCTAAGATTTCTATCCATCTCTGGGTTATCGTAATTTTAGGCCTCCCCCTCTTCCTACACAGGTTTAAGGGATGTGTTTTTCAATAAACAGAAACCATGAGAATTAAGCTACAACAAAAATAGTTTTTTATCTTGAAATTCCCTGAAATGAATTGATTATATAGAATGGAAGTTCTGGAGAAAGTAATAAGAAAATGAAGAAGGAGAGAAAGGAAAAGAAAAGCAGACCAATAATACCAAAGAAGGAGGGAGCAGAAACAGAGGTAATTAATGATGCTTCACGCCGTTTTCTCAACATATTCCTGCCGTTTTCTGATCCTATCACTGCCGATCTGGTATTACACATTCCTAGTGATCTGACATATGTATTCCTTACTACATTACAGTACACAGTACTGATCATCTGATATAAACATTTAGTGATTTAGTATACACATTCCTATCTGGTATATACCTTCCTATCGATCTGGTATACATTGTCCTTGTGAATTTTGTTTACATATTCCCATCTTGTATGTTCCTTCCTATTGATCTGGTATACATATTCCTTGTGAACTGGCTTACACTTTCCTATCGATCTGGTATGCATATTCCTTGTGAACTGGTATAAACCTTCCTATCAATCTGGTATACATATTCCTTGTGAACTGGTTTACACTTTCCTATCAATCTGGTATACACATTTCTTGTGAACTGGCTTACACTTTCCTATCGATCTGGTATACATATTCCTTGTGGTACACATGGTTACACATTCCCATCTTGTATGTACCTTCCTATTGATCTGGTGCACATTCCTTGTTGTACACATGGTTACACATTCCCATCTTGTATGTACCTTCCTATCGATCTGGTATACACATTCCTTGTGAACTGGTATACACTTTCCTATTGATCTGGTATTATTCCTTGTGAACTGGTTTACACCTTCCTATCGATCTGGTACACATTCCTTGTAGTACACATGGTTACACATTCCCATCTTGTATGTACCTTCCTATTGATCAGGTATACACTATACACATTCCTTGTGAACTGGTATACACCTTCCTGTCGATCTGGTGTACACATTCCTATCTGGTATATACCTTCCTATCGATCTGGTATACATAGTCCTTGTGAACTGGTATACACATTCCCAGTGATCTGGTTTATTTTTTACGAGACTTCATTCAACGCTATCCAAAATTTAAAAATTCGATTATCTTATTCAACCTCTCAATTATTTTTGCTTTTTTTAAGGCTTCAATCAGTTTTCCTCGGAGTTTGAAAGGATTAAGATCTCCAGAACTATTCCAAGCAATTTCATATAATTCTCTTCCATACTTTCTTCTAGCTAATCTTCTAACAGGTATCAAGTTAGATTTCATATAATTCTCTTCCATACTTTCTTCTAGCTAATCTTCTAATAGGTATTAAGTTAGATTTCATATAATTCTCTTCCATACTTTCTAGTATCTAATCTTCTAACAGGTATAGATATATTTCATATAATTCTCTTCCATTCTTTCTAGTATCTAATCTTCTAACAGGTATAGATAGATTTCATATAATTCTCTTCCATACTTTCTAGTATCTCATCTTCTAACAGGTATCAAGTTAGATTTCATATAATTCTCTTCCATACTTTCTAGTATCTAATCTTCTAACAGGTATAGTTAGATTTCATAGAATTCTCTTTCTAATATCTAATCTCCTATATCTAATATCTAATCTCCTAACTAGTAACTGGTGTAATAGTTAGATTGATTTTATGAATGGTACAGTGGGACCCAAAAAACTGTAGAATGGGAAAATGACATTTAATTAGCAATGAATTCTAATTTAAAATTTGGAAAAGTCAATTTTTATAAGTCAAAACTCGATTGTATTCTGGGTTTAACTCGTCTAATGTTTGCTAGACAGTATTCTACAATTTAAGTACACCATATTCTAGGATGTGTGAATGGATTGATACCAACCCTTGAAGTTGAAGGATGTCGAGCAGTTCTTATTCTTCTCCTTTATCTTCTTATTCTGTCTATCATCTTCATTATTCTTCATACTAGACGTATCAAGCTTATGTAGACAGTTTACGTCAAGCCAATTTAGGCCAAAGTAGGGGTTTTCTTACAAGTCAATGTTTTTTATTCCACAAAAAGATGAAAAAGCGAAATTTTAGGTTATAAAGTAAATTTTACCTCATTATCTCAAATTGTAAATGTTAATTTTTATCAAATTCTATTTATTTTGGATGGAAAAAAAATGTTTTGCTGTGAGAAAACCTGGATAATTTAATGTTTTTTTACTTTTTTGTCAAATTATTTTTAAAGAGCTTGTTTTCAATTTTGTCCGGACACATTTGGATCCGTGAAGTTCTTTAAATTGATCCTGAAAAAACTGGAAAATTGTTGTTCTAGTCAACCTGTTATTAATCCTTTATTTACCCAACATGATAAATGTCACATACGTGTTTACGGTGATACAGCTACATTAGATAAGATTATTCAGACGGTTTAGATACCTTAATTGTTACGACACTGCAAACCAAGATGTGAACGCTCTCACGCAAAAATCGTTTAGTATTTTTCTAAATACTCAGGTTTTAAATTCAAGCTAAAAACAAGCGCGTTGCTTTTTTGAAATATATATGTCTAGAGCTACATAAATGTATAAATGAGTTAGTGAGGTGAAACCAAAGGTCATGGCATTGCGATACTTTGAAGTGGAGTCTGTCTAAAAACTTGATGAATAACTTTCAGAGTTTTCTATAAGATTTTGCTAACCCCTTTTTCTTATCAACCTAATGGTGTATTTCAGACTGAGATTTTTTGGTCTAACAGAATTCATATTGTTAATCTTGTTGTTTTTATACTGTTAATTTGTTATTTTGTACTCCTGTGAATTTTAATATATGTTTTGCAACCCGTTCAATTTTTTTTTAATTTTATAAAAAGAGAGACGTATCCTATTCACAACTCTACCATTTATCTGATATGCGATTACAAAGAATTCTGTTCTCTGATCAGCGATTAAATAGAATTCAGTTCTCTGATCAGCGATTACATAGAATTCAGTTCTCTGATCAGCGATAACATAGAATTCAGTTCTCTGATCAGCAATTACACAGAATTCTGTTCTCTGATCAGCGATTACAAAGAATTCTGTCCTCTGATCAGCGATTACATAAAATTCAGTTCTCTGATCAGCGATTACATAGAATTCTGTTCTATGATCAGCGATTACATAGAATTCAGTTCTCTGATCAGCGATTACATAGACTTCAGTTCTCTGATCAGCGATTACATAGAATTCTGTTCTCTGATCAGCGATTACATAGAATTCAGTTCTCAGATCAGCGATTACAAAGAATTCAGTTCTCTGATCAGCGATTACATAGAATTCAGTTCTCTGATCAGCGATTACATAGAATTCAGTTCTCTGATCAGCGATTACATAGAATTCAGTTCTCTGATCAGCGATTACATAGAATTCAGTTCTCTGATCAGCGATTACATAGAATTCAGTTCTCTGATCAGCGATTACATAGTATGCAGTTCTCTGATCAGCGATTACAAATAATTCAGTTCTCTGATCAGCGATTACATAGAATTCAGTTCTCTGATCAGCGATTACATAGAATTCAGTTCTCTGATCAGCGATTACATAGAATTCTGTTCTATGATCAGCGATTACATAGAATTCAGTTCTCTGATCAGCGATTACATAGACTTCAGTTCTCTGATCAGCGATTACATAGAATTCAGTTCTCTGATCAGCGATTACATAGAATTCAGTTCTCTGGCTAGAAATTGTGTTCTATCTATTAAACCTAAAAAAACTAGAGTTTCACAGTGTAGTACACTGTACAGAGTTACTTTAAGAAAATGGCTCTACAATCTACATATTTCTTCTCAAAACCATCCGCGGTTTATAGAAATTAGAACTATAGCGCTTGGAGCATCCTTGAACTATCAAGAGTACGGCCTTCAAATGATCTTCGACAAAGCTCAATCTTGTTTAAAATTTGTCCAACACTCGGATAGCATTTAATGACTAATGAAAATGAATAGTAAGCAATAGTTTATTTACATTAATTTATTATAACGCATATTGAGCTTCTATCACAGTATTATTTGGTTAGCTTTTTTAACAAACGAAACAAGTTAAATAATTTAGAATCTAGAAACATACAGGGTGTCCCAATAAACATGGGAATTCAGTGACGAATTCGATATCGTCTTTTTAAATAATTCTTTGATTTAGTATAGTGATACCTACTGAGAAAGCTGTAATCTGTAAGAGATCCGTCTGCTATATGTTCACATTTTGTTTGTTTATGTTTTGACTGCATACGGTTGTACTTAGTAAAACAAAAAAATTGCAGTATACAAACAGAGTAAACTTGTCCGTCTTCACTGTTCATCTTGCGGAGAACTTATAGACACATCTTCACAGTCTTTTACCCTTTTCATAAAATAATTCCTAGCAGACATAATAATATGATGGCTTTTGAAATTAGGTACTACAATGCTAATTCATAACAAAGACGATATCTAATTCGTCACTGAATTCCCATGATTTTTGGGACACCCTGTACAAGGTAACCAACAAAGGATAATACTGAGATGGCCTAAAGCTCTTTAATGCTTAACAATCCAGAGTTGATTTCAAGGATGTACGGTACGAGGATTGGAAGATTTAATCCACCAACACTTCACAGACGAAATTCTGCGCCAAGACCTTTTTAAAAATGTATTATGTATACAACAAAAATACTTACCAAAGAAAGAAACAAGTATACACAGACAATTAATGTTAGAAAAATACTGAATAAATTCCGCTCAGTCGTCTCGTCCTTTGTTGGTAACCAAATACAAATTTAACCGATATTCTTGGGGATTTTCTTCCGAGTTATTTTTTAGCACCACTGTTATTTAACACGTTATTTTTAGTAGTTTTTAGGATTTTTGTTTATTAAATGTTCCATGAAGCATGTCTTTCTGAAAAAGAGCAACTTCCCATGTTATGGAATAGTATAATCACAAAAGACTGCTCTTTAAAGGAGGAGTTATAGGGATCTTGTAGAACTTGATCGTTTAGCTTTGTTAAATTCTTACAATTCATCCATTCTTGTTTATTTTTTGTAATTTGTTTTTAATTAATTTCTTTTCAGTGTAAATGATTTTACAATATTTTGGATTAAACGTAAGTTCTCTGTTAGTTTACGCAAGAAAGCTAATATTATTTTGAGCACGCATAAGCTGATGATCAATGATCATCATGTTTTGAAAGCTATGGCGATTACCTCTACAATATTAAGTTTAATTTTCATATTAAATTATCAAAGACCGATTCAGGGTGTAATATGGAAAGCACAAAAGGCAGACCACAATTTGGGAATGCAAGGACCATACAAGGGGAATTTCGCGATATTTGAATTATGGTTCCAGGTTGCGGGTCGGCGAATATCAAAGACGATCTTTTATTTATCTCTTTATAGCTGTCATGTTTTCTGTGACTGTAGCTGTAGGATTAGCTTCTGCTAAGAAGAGTTGATATCCCTGGTATCCTTCTCTATAGGATTAGCTTCTGCTAAGAAGAGTTGATATCCCTGGTATCCTTCTCTCCACTTCCTTTAAGAAAGTTTCCTTCACCTAATAAAATAGCAATTCTTAATTGAAAAGGGGAGTTAACATTTTTCGGAAAAGGTTTGGATAACAAAAAAAAATACTTTTAATAATTTTCTTTGATGAAGAGTTTTAAACCTCTTTCTTTCTTAAAGGGAGTAAAAAGAATGAAGAAGAAAGAAGAGGTTTAAAACTCTTTTAAAGAAAATTATTAAGTCCCTTTTTTTCTTATCAAACCCTTTTTCGAAAAATGTTAACATGGTAGTTGATCTGAGAGTGCGGTATATTGTATAGAGAATTTTTTAAAGAAATAATTTGAGACCTGTAAGACGAGTGTACGGTGTATAGTTGCTTAGAAAATCCGCAAAAGCTATTTTTAAAATCTTCATGAAAGAATATCTTACAAATCTCTCAACAATACTTTACACTCTCAGCTCAACTGCCATGTCTAGCTAGACACTCCTTTTTAGAAATTTGTTCAAGATGGCTTTTCCATTATTAACTTTTAAATATTTAAAAGTATTATCTGCTTAATTTTCTAATTGAAAGCAAAATAAGATATTTGCTACAATTTAACCCAAAACTTCGGAGAATTCAAACTAAGTTATTAAATGTCGTCTTCTACACCTACTGACAGTGGAATGCTGCAGATATCTAGTTTTTAATTTAATAATTATATGGGGCTCTTTAAAACTGTTCCCGCATATTCATGGCTATTTAGTTATTATTACAATTACAAAGATTTAGGTCTGATAAAAATCTTATGAATTCTTTTGATTTCTCCAAAGTTATGGGTTTACAAAAAAAATATAATTTCCTCTTAGATACCTTTGTTAGCAGGATTTGTTTTAGCTCCTTTCCCACTATACTAGACACATGGGGGGATATATATTCTGCTAGATCTCCTAGTACACCTAGACCTAGAGAATAGTTGGATTAGTATAATACCATACACATGGGGGGATATATATTCTATAATATATTAGTATAATACAGGGTGTCCCACATCAAATTAGACCGCGTCAATGGGTCTAAATTACGAATTGGGGGACAAATCATAAAATTTAAGAAGACTGCATCATTTTGAAAAATTTAATAAGGCTAATAGAATTTTTTTTGCAGAAAATGCTAGATTTTTTTAGTATAATGTGCGTATTTAGGTGTTAAAGATTGGAGATAATCTAATATGATATGGGACGCTCTGTTCCAGAAACATGTATATGTGTATATACTCTGGCAGATATCCTAATCTGCACATATAGTGAAACCCTTAATAACGAATACATCGAAAGAATTCATCAAATGTCGTATTCTTCACTTTCTGATAATCGAATGTTGGAGATATTTAGTTTTTTAATTGAATTATTATATGGAACTCTTTAAAACTATTCCCGCATATTCATGGCTGTTTATTTATTTTCGCAAATACTAAAATTTACGTAATATAGTATAAAACTCATTGAATAATTGTCAAGACGACATTTGATAAATTCTTCCGATGTATTCGTTATTAAGGGTATCACTGTAGTACACCTAGACCTAGAGAATGCATTTGAAAAGAAACATTTTAAACATATCAAAGGAAGAGGAAGCAATTTTAATATTTTGTGAAAAATTAGTCTCAAGACTTGATACGTTGAATGATACTAATTTTACTTAGAGTTGAAACTAAACTAAAAAAATAGAAAAGTTCAATTGAGCTTAAAATTCTCCAAGGCTTCGAAATCCTCTGGTAAATAAACCCCATATGGACCTTTTACTGTTAGACAATATATTTATATTACTTAAGAGTTTCAGGACACTTTGCACGCATCTTCTATTTCAACTTTTAACTGTGACTCTATCTGTGAGCATTTTCTCTTCGAGCATTTAAAACAATAAAAAATTTGCGGATTTTTTCATTTTCTTATTTTCTTATTTTCTCATTTTCTTTGTGGATTTTCAAAATTTGACGAAAACAAAAATTTACAAGATCGCTATAATTTGACAGAAAAGTAATACACAGGTTCACGAAAAGAGGAGAAAAATGTCGATTTAGAAAAAAAAAACTGTATTGTAAATATTTCAACTCACCTTCCATATCTACATCCACAGGTCCCATATCCATGTCAAAGTTAGAATTAACTTTACCCCCGCTGCTCACTGGCAACTAGAATTTAGATTTAGGAAGGGGCAAAACAGGAATTAATAAAAGAGGTGCAGGGGTTATTGTAAAACCTTTAACTATTTGAGGATCAGACTGCAGGAACCAGAACAAGATGAAAATAAGATTCAAGGTAACCTACATCTTCTTTCAAAACGAGTGCATAAAAGATTCCAAAGAGTGTGTTTTACAAGACCCCTACTTTTCCCAGATGCTCAAAAAATAACAAAATTTCTGGGATTGTACAGTGAAAAATCTGCAACCGCAGATTAAAGGAATCATCACTCTGGATCTTGCGGAGAACAAAAGTCAACATTCATCTGCTGGAAGCTCTCCAATACATGGGTTTGATGCAAACCAAGAACCTGTTTACAGAAGGGAAGATACTCGACCTGTAACTAGAAGGTTTGCTACAAGCCAAGGATTGTCTTTATTTGGTCAATTACCGCCGGTTACACGTGGAAGCAGACCAAGTACTATTTGTAAACGAACAAGATCCACATCACTGCCCCCTGTCTTTGATAGTGATGGAGAAGTAGACAGCCTCTGTTCTGCTAAATGCTCTGATAAAGTATACAGCTCATTTAACAGCTTGGATTGGGACCCGGATGCACTTCAAGGTTCTTTTAACAGTTTAGAGTGGGATCCATCTGGTACTTTCTCATCTCCAGCTAAACAAATAAATTCGTCAATGGAAAATGATGTAACTTTGGTATCAGAAGCAAGTGAGGAAGACAACTTTCAAGATGTTAACTCCTCTATTACGATGTATTGTCCAGGGTTAGAAGGAAGTGGAGAAGTTTCAAACATGGAACAACAAATAAGAATCCATAGGATGGCTGTGGGGAGAGCTGAGATGTTTGTTGAGGATGACGTACAACTAATCAGTCCTGATAAAGTCACATAAGAAACTCTAAACCTACATCTTCTTTCAAAACGAGTGCATAAAAGATAGCTCGGATATCTGGGTTTATTGTCATTGATTCAAGATTAGCCTCGCTCTAAATAATATTAGATTAAATATTAGTCGCGCTCTTAACAAGATTAGATTTAAGATTAGCCTCGCAATAAACAAGATTAGATTCAAGATTAGCCTCGCTCTGAACAAGATTAGATTCAAGATTAGTCTCGCAATAAACAATATTAGATTCAAGATTAGCCTCGCTCTTAACAAGATTAGATTCAAAATTAGTCTCGCTCTAAACAAGATTAGATTCAAAATTAGTCTCGCTCTAAACAAGATTAGATTCAAGATTAGTCTCGCTCTAAACAAGATTAGATTCAAGATTAGTCTCGCTCTTAACAATATTAGATTCAAGATTAGTCTCGCTCTAAACAAGGTTATATTCAAGATCAGTCACGCTCTAAACAAGATTATATTCAAGAATAGTCTCGCTCTAAACAATATTAGATATAAGATTAGTCTCGCTCTTAACAATATTAGATTCAAAATTAGTCTCACTCTAAACAAGATTAGATTCAAAATTAGTCTCGCTCTAAACAAGATTATATTCAAGATCAGTCACACTCTAAACAAGATTATATTCAAGATCAGTCTCGCTCTAAACAAGATTAGATTCAAAATTAGTCACGCTCTAAACAAGATTATATTCAAGATCAGTCTCGCTTTAAACAAGATTAGATTCAAAATTAGTCTCGCTCTAAACAAGATTAGATTCAAAATTAGTCACGCTCTAAACAAGATTATATTCAAGATCAGTCACGCTCTAAACAAGATTATATTCAAGATCAGTCTCGCAATAAACAAGTTTAGATTCAAGATTATTGCCTCGTTTTTAACAAGATTAGATTCAAGATTAGTCTTGCTCTAAACAATATTAGATTTAAGATTATAGCCTCGCTCTAAACAACATTAGATTGATTCAAGATTGAAAGAACGATACCCTGATCCTATTCCTAGATACACCCTGTCAGTTTAATACCTTGAAAGGAGTTAAGCCATTATATAATATACACCCTGTAATATCTTGAAAGAACGGTACCTGTATTTAAGATACACCCTTTACAACCTTAAAAGAAGGGTAACATTACATAAGATACATCCTGTAATACCTTGAAAGAAGAGTACCATTATCTAAGATACACCCTGTAATGCATTGCAATAAGGTTACCTGTATCTAAAATACACCCTGTAATACCTTAAAAGAAGGGTATCTGTGTCTAAGACACACCCTGTAATAAAGTATAAGACCCATAAAACTGTTAAATATTAAGACAATTGTTAGGCTCAAATTATAGTTGTAAATAGTCCAATGAACATTAAATGCAGAAAATGTAGATTGTACAGACCTATTTCACAAGTTAATTTAATTGTTGCTGGTAAGACATAAATGTCGTCTTGCTATTCCAGAGTTTTATCTCATTGCACTACCTTGAAAGGAGTTGTTAGGTTCTCTACTCCAAACTTTGCTCCAAGACGAACTGATCCTTCTTCCTCCCAGGTTAGAACAACAGGACCTTGACGAGATAGACGGGACAGTCCCTTAATTGGAAATCTTTAAAGAAATCTCTAAAATGTACAGGGTGTCCCACGAAACATGACAGTGAAGAGAAAAAGCTTGAATATCGTCTTTGATCTTAGAAATAATTTGCGGCATTATTTGACGAATGAATGTCACAAATTATTACAAGGGTCAACGACGATATTCAAGTCGTCTTTCAACAGTCATGTTTTGTGGGACACCCTGTATTTGTTTTTTATCAAAAGAATGGATTTTTTGTATATTTTCTAATATTATTTTGAATATTTCCCGACCAAAACTTGGTACAGCAAAAGATTAATCATCTTGAATATGATGTTGTACTGATTAACTTTGTGACCTAATAACTTCTCGAGCTTTCATTTTACATTCATGATCAACGACGAGAACAAACTTTTTTTGTTCAACTTTGATGAATCATCGAAAGCTCTTTTTATTAAATTATATTGTTTTCAAAACATTTCAAATATTTCAAACTAAAATATAAGATCAATTTTTGGTACCTCCTTGCACTGCAGAAAGTGTACTTTTTATGTTTTCTTTAAGGCTTGAATAAATTCAGAAATGGTTTTATTTTTAAAGATCTCTCAAAATAAGTTCAAACGTGAGATTGGAATTGGAAACCATAAACTATTGGGGGAAAATGTTATTCTATTAAAAGTTATTTTGTATCTTAGAATTTTTAATTAATACCAGGTTAAACCAAATAAAGGAAGATACTCGAGAGACATTTAAACGAAATTTACTCAGTCATTTTGCTCTGCAGCAACTTAAAACCTTTTTTTAAAAGTTCAGTATGCCATTTTAAAGGCTATATTCAAGGTTAAAGACAAAATTTCACCCTTAAACTGATATTCGTCGTTAAAATCTCATTCTTTGCGGGTAACCCTGTAACCCTGTACATACAATTTATTTAAATTGAATATTAAAAATTAAATTACCTGAAGTTGTCCCTCCCGTAGCATCAGCTCACCTAAATAATAAAATGCCATAATTTTTTTACAAAATAAATGTTGTTCCCCTCTTTTCCACAATATTAAAACCCTTCAGAATAATCTGTTCAATAAATTTTTTTGATATTTTAATTTTTTTTTAATAAAGCTGAATGATTTACTTAAATAGTGCGTCCACCCCACCTGCAACTTTCTGTGAGCAGGACGCACAGAGATCTCTAAGTATCTGGAATATCTGACGAGCCCCAGAGTTCTCTGCTCCAACTAGAGGTAGAACTGCTTCCGTAACCTGTTTAAGTATCATTATTATCTACAGCATAATTCTTTTACTTAAAGCATGGCGTCGATTGTCGAAATTGTATGTGTATTTTGAGATTCAGCATCTATCTAATTAATTTATAGTTTATAGTTTACAAATTATAAGTTTATAAATTATTTCTTATATTTTTATATTTACATGATAGTTTCAATTCCAGGTAAAGCTGGGTTCTATAGCTAGTATTTTATGCTTGACCTTATCCAGGTTGTATGGAATACTGATATCCGGTATAGGTATAGGATCCAAGCCTAGGGTTTGCAGACCTAAACAAATAAAAAATAAAATTTATGTTTTTATACAAATATGATAAATAAAATAATCTTGAACACAATTTTAATGAGAAGGTAACTTATAACCCAATTAAAAAATGTCTCTCTATGAATTGTTAAAAAAATTAAACTTAATCATATAACCCGGCTTATTTTGTACTTGATTTTAACAAATATTTTTAACTAGTATATCCAAATATTCCTTTAAATTTTACTCAGAAATCTTTAAACAAGTATTTTCGTAAAATAACACAATTAGATGTATTTTTTCACCTTCACAAACTTCATTAAGTAATTTATCCATCATATCATCCAGAACTAAATTATGAATAATTAATTCAAATGAATTAAATAATAAATAAATAATTAAATGAACTACTGTGAGTACCAAACAGCTCTGTACAAGGAAAATATTCACTCTAAAAGTTGTATGATCCCGAGCCGGTTCAACATGTATTCAGTCGTACCGTCCAGTCTGGACTATCTAGTGTAAAGTCGACCTTGCACGTTTAATACAACAAATGTAGCCTGGCATGATCACATTACCTTCTTGTGGGACAAATTTCATTGCATTCTCCGCCAGAAACCTTTTAATTATATCAAACGGCATTTTTACTGAAAAAAAACTTTGATACTCATCACATTTTTCCTCAAAACATTAATAATTCTTTTAAATATCCAGTGATATCTAGATTTGAAAGATAACTCAGAAATATTCAGGACTCAATTACAAAATTGAAAAAAAACGTTATTGATGTTTTTATTTCGAGTGAGAACTATGATCGCAATTTTCTTTTTTGCTGGTTATCAGTCAATTGACACTGGGTCTTCTAGATTCGTAATGTTTTTAGATCCAAACTTTAAACTAAATATTTTTTTGATAAAGATTAAAGATGTATCATCATAGACTTAACCCTTGCTATAACTCTGTAATTGGCTTTCAGTTCACTTTCTCCTTTAAACTGAGTGTATATGTAGTATATACTAGTATGTAGTGTGTGAATAATAAATACTGAGTGTATATGTTGTATATACTAGTATGCAGTCTGTAAATAATAAATACTTAGTGTATATGTAGTATATACTAGTATGTAGTGTGTAAATAATAAATACTGAGTGTATACTGTATATGTAGTATTATATACTAGTATGTAGTGTGTAAATAATACTGAGTTCTAAGTTCTGACTCAGATTGAGTAAAGCCAACTAAGGCGGCAGGACTATGCACTTATAAAAGCCAAGGTGCAGCATCACAATACAGGGGGTCTCGGAAAACATAAAACATTGTCAGTTATTTAAATTTTTGTTTTTAATTAAACTTAATTCTTATTTTTGTGAGACTGTTATGAATATAATTTCAAGTTCACCTCAATTTATATGTCCAATAGAGATATCCTAAAAATGAGTGCCATGAGGCTCAAATTTAAACCAACAATGACCGTATATTGTAACTTTGAGTTTCAGGGATATCTCTGTCGTCAGATAAAGGTTTGAAGGTTATAAACACTGTAACATTCATAATTTTACATTAAATCTTGAAACCGTATCGCTATAAATCTAACTTCAGATATCAACTCATTGTTATACTTTTATTACTTTATTGGAAGGAAAGCAAAGATTATACATCCTTTTAACTCTTTAAATTGAATTATATCTGAAAAAAACGACAAACTACAAACTACGAAGCAATAAATAAATCAATCAATCCAACAATAAAACAATAAAAGTTTTTTGATAAGTCCAGATTAAAGTCGAAAGAAACTTCCCGTCAACTAAATTAGCCTACGATAATTTTATTATATCCGGATACTTCAAAAATTTAAATATGTTTTCCTTCTTATCAATTTGAAATTAGTAAGTTCCTTTAAGACTAATCTTATAACAGTAATAAACTTTTGTATATTAATGACGTATACTTAATAAAAACTAAAATATAAAATAAAAGGAACAAAATCTGTCTTTTGCGAAGAAAAAACATTTATTTTGATTTCTTGCGCTTTCTTTATGCTTTCTCTCTTGCTTTCTATTTAAAATAATTATTCTAAAAACGTAATGGATTAATTTACGAATAAACTACAACTGCTTACAATGCATAAATAATTTTAGGAAAATCCCTGATTTTATTAAAACAGCTGATAACCGATTAAAGTCTATAAACCTACTAACCATGTAAACTATGCCAACCTTTCAGCTTTCTAATAATATTATAAACCAAAAACTAAATAAATTGTTTTGATTTGTTGTATATTTAAGACATTTATCTATAATGAAATGATAATCTTTTTCTGTTTTATTTAAAATTAAACATGTTTTCTCCGCATATATTTATGGTTGCATAAATGAACAAAAAAAATCAATAATAAATTTTTTTCATTCTTGAAAAAAGTCACCATGTTTCGAAAAAGTTTTTAAAAATTCAGGTTTTTAAATGTTTTTTACTGCTTCTTTAAACTGACTAAAATTTAGTTTTTAACAAAATTAAGTTTTTGATTTAAAAGAATTGCACTTTGATGCATTGCCTTTAAATTAAAGCAATAAAATATAAATGTACGACTCCATGGTCTCACTGTGAGCATAACATATGAATATTCAGACCCCTTTAAACATATAAAAATATTGCTAAAACATCTTTACATCCAGAGATACAAAATATGTATAAGGGCGTTGGCAAGATAAAACCAAGTGCCTGGCGACATTCCAAAGTAGGCCCGGTCTCAATAGTTAATGAAAAAAATTCGAATTCCAAATAAGACTCCAATCTCATATATTTTCTACAGTGAGAATCTTAAAACTATGAAATAAGAAGACGACTGTTCTGATTTCAAAAGTTGAATGAAAATGAAAAGAGCTGTGTTGCAGTCTACACACAAACATATTTCTTTTGGTAAATCAATTTTCAGGTTGCTGGTAAATAAATTTTCAGGTTGCTGGTAGCTATTTTTGATACAGTGGTAAGCGATTGTATCAATACAAAGAAAATGACCTTCGGTTTCAATTTTGATTTATATCAACATATATATATATAACAGCATGGATACACATAAAAATATGAATAAATAGAAACTATCGCTTAAAAAAACTTCTCTTTGATTACTTGTAAACTTGAGATTAGAAAAAACGGTTGTAAATAATCAAAAGTTAAATAAAAAGTCGTCTTCCTTGTATTGATATACCCCGCAGTTTCCCAGAGAAATACGAATGAGAAATACAATTGAACTCTGCTTTATCTTCATTTCGCACGGAATTTGCAGTTTATATTTGTTATTATCATTTTTATCCAATAGTATCTACGTATAATTCAGAATTCTTGTAGAGCAATATGATTTTATATAAACAAAAACAATATTGTCAAGATTAGTTCTTAAAATCTGCTCAGACCAGGCTAAAAGTTAAAATTGATAACAGTACAAATAGATCTCTAGATGTCGTCTTTTCAAGACTTTGGGGTTTTTCATCCACTCTAACCCAGAAGACCAAAGGAGTTACGCACATGATTTCTCTGTCTTGTTATTCAACGCGGCATGCGCGTATCCCCTTTAGGCATCTGCCTCAGGGTTATTGTGAACGAAAAAAACCCTAAATCAGACGACATCTAGTGTTCTATCTGTATTAATATTGTTATTACTCTATGTTTAAAACATTTATATTTCAATCTTCTTTGTAATTTTACTTTAGTTTTACGTGACTGTACCCTGCCTACCGTCTTTCAAATTTGAATGTTTCATGTTGATTTTTCTAATTTAAAGATTTGAAACTATGGAAATATAATTAAATTAAATTAAACTAGAGAATTTTCAACATCTTCATTTTCCAATTCTAATATTATATGGTGGGACCCATAATATAATAAACGTCGAAACGGCTAAACTGATCGGACCATTTTTTTGTGGCAACTCGCATTTATGGACCGTTTAAGTTGAACAATTTTGCTTAGAAAATATTTTGACAATCATTATTTTTGAAAATCCGCTAGAGCTTGAAAATAAGTAATATGGCCAGTTTCAGGGCACAATTAAAAGCTATAAAATTGTTTAATGGAAAGTTTAAAATAAAACAAAGCTTCTTTCTCATATTTGCTGTAGTAGTTCAAATTTTAAAATTATTATAATTTTAGTGAAAGACGTAAATTACGAAATTAAATTAAAGATCCCTTTTTAAAGTATGATTTTGATGAGATTTTAAGAAAATATTTTCGACGCAGTGCCAACCCTTCCTCTCTTTTCTTCTCTGCGTAGTCTCTTTAATTCCCCGAAAATATTTAGATGAAAAATTCTATTCGAATTCTAGCCTAGTATATATTAGGACGGAAATATATCCCTAAGATTTAGTAGCTTTTATTAAACCGCATTCATCGTAAAATAAGTAAAATAAAAAAATTTAAAATTTATTTATGGAATCTATATCTAAACATTATATATCTTTAGAATCTCTTGGATAAACCCATTTTCATAAAGTTCAATAATATATTTATGATTGGATCACATTATAATTCATCAACTTCCAAAATTTGAAATTTGAATTTGGTTGAATGAAAATGGTTGAAAAGAAAAAGCGATCACTAGAAAAGTTTTTTTGTAGTACTGTTAAACTTGATAGAACAACTAATTTGTAGTACTGTTAATTAATCTTGATAGATTGATAGATCTTGTAAGACAAATGATCAATTGAAAGGACAAATGATCGATGGATACTAATTTGAAGGACAACAGATAGGTATCATCAGTGATCGATAGGACACAAGTTTTGGAGGAAAAATAATAGATTGAACAAATTATTTGATAGATAGGGATGATAGTTCTCTACCTGTGTAAATACTCTGACAAATACTTGAAGAACTATTGAGAAGAAAAAAAAGATATTTTGAATTTCTAATTTGTTTTCCTGATGCATGTGTGTAACTCCAAAAACTAGAAGAACTACGTACTAGACCAGTAATGTCGCATTTAACCTATTCCTTCTGTTTAGTGGATCGTGAACGGTGAAGTAAACAAAAGAAAGACAGCTGAAAACAAACCTTTGATGTATTTGATAAAGGAACTAATGGAAGCATTGTATTACAAAACAATGGAAAACTTATTTTTCGTGAAAAGAAAATAGGTTAAATCATGTTTGATATATAATGTTTACGTTTATGTTTATGTTTATGTTTGAAAGATAAACAGAAGTTTAGAAGAATGTTGAATCAATCTCCGTCTCTGAAATCAGAACCCCGCCTTTTACATCAACAATATGGGAATATTTATTCATGTATTCTCTTGTATTATGTATATGTATATATACTAAATACACAATATACTGGAAATACGGAAGATTTGTGTACACTGTTTGATTTGTGTACACTGAGAAGAAACTCGCGGATTTAGAATAAAAAGTTTTGCGGATTTGAACAAAATAATGAACAATTTAGGTTTTTTAGACCATTGCTCTAAGCGATGCTAAAAGTAAAACTATATTAAAAGAAATTGGCCTGGGTAGACAGAAACTGTGAAATCATTAATATTGCAACATTAACATGAGTGTGACATAAATACATACATACATACATACATATAATACTGTAGTCGTATATATAATAAAACTAAAGGAGCTCCGAGGTCACAAAATCCTACCAGTTATATCTCATAAATTTGACTTTCTCCTCCTGTCTAGTTCACAATGACCAGGTTCATTCGCCAGTATTCCTATTCCTATTCCTATTCCTATTCCTATTCCTATTCCTATTCGCCAGTATTCCGTCATTGTTTTGAAATCCATTTTTCAACATTTAAAGTTTTTAAACTTTTAAAGAGGCTCAACTAGAATCTCAGATGTTTATCCTCTTTCACACTAGCTTCATATTTATTTTGCTTTTATTATGCAAATTTTTACTCTGGCAAAAAAATGAACAAAATCGACTTTTCGAAACAATTAGTCAAATTGCTTTGTTTAATATATTTGAGAAAAATATTTATACTGTAATAAAAACAAACTTATCGAGAATATATAGTTCTGAAGTGTGAAAAATAGCTCAGAATATTTGATGCCATGTACTTTTTAAATAATTCCCATCCCTACATATTGGTCGGAAATCCATACTGCCATAGTCAGGAGCTGATGGCAAGCCGATGGCTAATAAAATGTTTTGGGATGCCTAAGCTAATAGTGGGTTTTCAGGCAAAAAATTACTACAAACAAATTTAATGAACTTTAAAAATATACTTTTTTCCAAGGTACTATTGCAAGAAAAGTTATTTCAGAGGAGTACGCATTTTTTGTACTGCAGTGTACTGTCTTTGGGCGGAAAAGTAAATACAAGACGGATGTCACAGCCTGACATGGAATCCATTTTCACAAAAATAATGTTATGAAATATTTGGTCAAAGGAAACTATTATGTGAATTTTCAAAATTATCAAAATTAAATGCTTTTATCCTCCTCGGATACTAGTCGAACACTAATGCATCTGTTCTTGTTTACAAATTCCGCCCAAAGAGAACTGGTTTCAATATGTACGCAGAGTTTACGCGACCGCAATTAACTTTCCTTGCAATAGTACTTTGCTTTTTTAAAATGAACTTTTAAAAATAATTTCGTTTAAAATAAACATTTTTTAAATGAACTTTTATGTTAAAAAAAGAAAAAAATTCTTCGACAGTAAGAACATAATGATATATTACGGTGTGAAAATTAATGTACTTTATGCAGTTAAAAAGACTGAAGGCGTAATTTTAAGTCATTCTCTTTGCAAAGATGGAAATGCCTGATTCACAACGATACCCTTAAAATATTTATCTTATCAAGTGTAAATTATGATGTAATTTTTATAAACTAGAAATTCAAGGCGCTTCGCGCCCTTCTTTCTAGGATTTTAGTGCGCTTCGCGCCCATCTTCTATTTAAATTGTGAACATGTTCTTTTTATTTACATTTCAAAACAAAGATGAAAAAAATTTTGCGGATTTTTAAAAAAAAAATCACGGATTTTCAAAAATTTAAATTTTTTTACAAAATTAAAAACCTTTAAAACACAAATTTTTAAAATTTCAATCATTCATAAACCTTCCCTGGGGTCCCTAGATGTCCCACAAAAAATTTGGGCCCGATCGGTTCAGCCGTTTTGACGTTTATTGGATACAAACAAACAAACAAACAGACAGACAGACAAACAGACAAGCCAAATTTATATATAGATATATTAACATTAATAATATCATCCTTACAACATAAATTTGATTAAGAATATGGAAGATTCTTTACAACATAAATTAGATCAAGAATATGGAAGATTCTTTACAACATAAATTAGATCAAGAATATGGAAGATTCCTTACAACATAAATTAGATCAAGATTATGAAAGATACCTTACAACATAAATTAGATCAAGAATATGGAAGATTCTTAACAACATAAATATGATCAAGAATATGGAAGATTCTTTACAACATAAATTAGATCAAGAATATGGAAGATTCCTTACAACATAAATTAGATCAAGATTATGGAAGATTCTTTACAACATAAATTTGATCAAGAATATGGAAGATTCTTTACAACATAAATTAGATCAAGAATATGGAAGATTCTTTACAACATAAATTAGATCAAGAATATGGAAGATTCCGTACAACATAAATTAGATCAAGAATATGGAAGATTCCTTACAACATAAATTTGATTAAGAATATGGAAGATTCTTTACAACATAAATTAGATCAAGAATATGGAAGATTCCTTACAACATAAAATAGATCAAGAATATGGAAGATTCCTTACAACATAAATTAGATCAAGAATATGAAAGATTCCTTACAGCATAGATTTGATCAAGAATATGGAAGATTCCTTTCAACATAAATTTGATGAAGAATATGGAAGATTCCTTTTAACATAAATTTTGATGAAGAATATGGAAGATTCCTTTTAATATAAATTTGATCAAGTATATGGAAGATTCCTTAAAACATAAATATGATCAAGAATATGGAAGTTTCCTTACAACATAAATTAGATCAAGAATATGGAAGATTCCTTACAACATAAATTAGATCAAAAATATGAAAGATTCCTTACAGCATAGATTAGATCAATAATATGGAAGATTCCTTTCAACATAAATTTGATGAAGAATATGGAAGATTCCTTTTAACATAAATTTGATGAAGAATATGGAAGATTCCTTACAACATAAATTAGATCAAGAATATGAAAGATTCCTTACAGCATAGATTAGATCAAGAATATGGAAGATTCCTTTATAAATCGAGGGTTTCTTGACTTGAAAAAAAAACATCTACAATTTCCTTAAAAGACTCCACAATAAGTCTCGATATTTGGTTTGGTAATATAGCAATTTTTACCCTGATATAATATGTAAGGTCAAAGAAAAACTTTTGGCCAAATCATATTGAAATTAATATCTTTTATAAAAAGATGACTATGAAAAAGATTCCCATCCCTAAAGTCAACATTTTAGAATATGTTGACATTTCACTAAAACTCGAGGAGAAATTTTATGAAAAAAATTTGACTCATTTATATTTTTTTCCTTTTATTTGATTAAAAAAAAATGTCATTGCCCCCCCCCCCTCTCTCATGCCTCATGATTAGTTTTCATGGGTTTATGTTCGACGATAAATGTACGGTATAAAGTATGGTATGAAGTGGGGGGGGGGGGAGGACTCCTTCTTGGTTATTCTTTAACCTCTAGTTTACGGTATACCATACTACCATCAACATCATTCACACACACACACACGCACACGAACATATACACTCACAAACTAACATGAACTTACATATAGAATATTTTGAGGATTTTATAAAAGGGTGGTGGGGGTGGGAAGTGATGAAGGGGTTATCTCATTATTTTTGACCCAATATTCAAGCATTTTTAATTTACATTTTTTAAATTTACAATTGTGTTTAAAATATAAAGATGTAATGTGAGACCATTTTTTACCAATTATAACCAATTTTTACCAAATCTTTTTCAATTTTTATTACAATTTTTTACCAATTTTTACAATTTTTATCAATTTTTACTATTTTTATCCATTTTACCAATTTTTTACCAATTTAAATTTTACATATTATTATCATTTCAGAAATGCCTCCCCCGAAGGAGTTTACTCAAAGTGAACTAGAGGTTGTGACAACAGTCTTTAGGGGGGTGTATTATTATTATTATTATTTATTTTTGTTAATTTCCATGTGAAGGGTGGCATCATGACATGTCCTATTCACAACCCTTGTTTGTCTCTTCAAGAAGGAATGGGATATCTATGTTTTTTTTCTTGTTGGTTCTTCCAAATTTGCTTTCTCAATAAAAGTGACTTGCGGATTTCTTTCCTACAGAAACACTAGAGTAAATTATGAGAATTAAGCACTTTTCAAGCTAGAAAAACAACGTTATCTTCCACACTGTTGATCAGATAACGGGTTACATGGCACTGTTGTGAATCAGACATGCCACAATACAAACATAAATTAACTTAATTATCTCTGAATATGAGCCTCTATGTAAAATATTTACTCAATAAATACAGATAAAGATTTGTGTACGGACCTTTAAGCTTCAGTTGGCAGTTTTGAGCATTCTAATTCTCTTTAGCAGTAGGATAGACTTAGTAATAGCTGTTTTCCCAATCCCAAAAAGTGGGGTAATTACAAGTAATCTAAAATCAAATAAATCACATCAAGGTGAAGTAAATTGATTGTTTGATTGAAATCTACAATCCTTTCAATCAAAAACCTTCCTATTGAAGAGGTATTAGAAGAGGTATATATGAAGAACAAAAATATTTTGGAGTTCTAATATTAACCAGTGGCCAAATTTAAATAATTTGAGCGGCGGTTTATATTTAAGCCGTGGTTTAAATAAGGTTGGTTCCACTTAAAATTGTATCAAATGTTTCAAGATTTAAGCCGGTGCTAAATTTAAACCGGGTTTTGGCGGATTTAAACCTCGGCTCAAATTCTTTAAGTTCCATCTCTGATAAACGTAATATGGTTTGGGAAACCAACTAAAAATAGATTTCTTAGTTTGAACTCTACATTAACACTCAAGAATAAGAAACAGTGTGAAACAGAAAACTCTGGAATAGAAAGACGACTTTAAGACTTTAAATAGTTGAATGAAAATTAGACACAACAATTGTGCAGGGTAACAGAGTCCCAAGTAAACTTGTTTTGAAGAACATTAAATACTTTTTAATATTGCTTTAATGTTGTCTCTTCTCATTCCACAGGTTTCTGAATAAAAATAAACCCCTGTTGAACAGACAGTACGAAACTGGTTTACGAGAAGCATGTATAGACGCAAAGGTAAATAAACAATAAAATGCGTATAAAGGATGAGACTTCAGAAACGACTCAACGAAATCATACCTGAGCTGAAAACTTCAGAATGGAATATCCATAATCCCGCTCGGTAAAAAATCTGGAGATTAATATCAAGAGGATAACAAGCATTATTTAATCTGGAGATCAAGAAAAAGAGGAGATCAAGCATTAATCCCGATATCCACCATTCTAAAGTTCCCAGCTCTGAGCTGATAACTTTTGAATGGTGGATATCGAGATTAATGCTTGATCTCCTCTTTTTCTTAATCTCAAGATTAAATAATGCATGCTCTCCTCTTGTTATCAATCTCCAGATTGATTAACCGATCAGGATTAAGGATATCTCATTCTGAAGTTTTCAGCTCAGGTTTATTTGCTAAATAATTTAACAAATCTTTAAGAAAACCATGATCAAAGACCAAGAACAAAAATAAACCTATAGATCTTCAGTTTGATCCTTTGTGAGGAACCCTGTATATCCCGATTTTTAAAACGCCCAGTAAGTTTCCTGAAGAATGTTTTGTTTAAATAAAGTCGTAAAATTTTGCTTTAGAAATTTCCGTGGATAAAAAGTCTTAAAAATTAATGGTCTTTGAAGTAAAGTTTTCTGTTTTAAGATTTGCTTTCTAGGAATTTTGAAAGAAAGTCCCAGGAATCTAAAACCAAGAACTTTTTGTCCTGTCAGGAAATTTTTCTGGACTGAAGGAAATTAGCTCTTTTTCCTGAGATTTAATTTCCAGGGTTTTTTTCCAGAAACTTTCCTGTAACTCTCTTACAGAGATTGATTTATGTTACAGATTTGAAAAAAAATTTTTTTTAACAAACCTATAATTACACTTTAACATGAAGTAAATACACTAACCTTGACTAAGTATGATCCATGAGCCAGGATTAAACTTGATCTTTATCAGAAAATAGTTTTCTTTCATATTATGTCGGGACTTTCTTTTTTTCTTTAAAAATCAGTTTTTTCAAAAACAAACACAAAATAGTACGCTTTACTTACCTTTTTTCCATATTGGAAAATATATTTTTTTAAATGTAGGAAAAAATCCATTTATGTTTTCTGGTTATCCTTCATTTACATTAACTCATGGAACTCATGGAACCCATGGAAATTATGGAACTCGTGGAACTTATGGAACTCATGAAACCCATGGAACTCATAGAATCCATGGAACTCATGGAACTCATGAAACCCATGGAACTTGTGGAACTCATGGAACAGAACTTTAGGTTTCATGGAATTTCAGGTTTCATGGAACTCCAGGTTTCATGGAACTCCAAGTTTCATGGAAATCCAGGTTTTTATGAAGCTCCAGGTTTCATGGAACTCCAGGTTTCATGAAACTCCAGATTTCAAGAAACTCAAGGTTTGAACTCCAGGCTTTATGGAACTCCAGGGGTCATGGAACTCCAGGTTTCATGGAACTTAAGGTATTTTGGAACTCCAGTGGTCATGGAGCTCCAGGTTTTATGGAACTCCAGGTTTCATGGAACTCTAGGTTTCATGGAACTCTAGGTTTCAAGAAACTCCGGGTTTCATGAAACTCCAGGTTTCATGGAACTCTAGGTTTCAAGAAACTCCGGGTATCATGGAACTCTGTCTCAAAACTGTGATCCCACAAAAATCTCTCATCTTGGGGACCAATTCTAGGGAAATTTTCGAGAATTTCTGAGGAATCAGTTACAGGAAATGATTCTCGAGAAATTCGTCGGAAATTCCTTAAAGAAAGTCGCCACGGTTGGAGAATCTGGGGAAATTCCTCACTTTTGTTACTTGGGATGAAACTCCAGGTTTCATGGATTTCCAGGTTTCATGATCTCCAGGTTTCATGGATCTCTAGGTTTTTTGGATCTCCAGGTTTCATGGATCTCCAGGTTTTATGGATCTCCAGGTTTCATGGATCTTCAGTTTTCTCGGATCTCCAGGTTTCTTGGAACTTTAGGTTTAATGGAAATTGGATCTTCAGGTTTTAAAAAAAACAGGTTTTACAGAACTCCAGGATTCATAGAACTCTAGGTTTCATGGAACTTTCAGGTTTCATGGAACTCCAGGTTTCATAGAACTCCTGGTTTCATGAAAAACCAGGTTTCATGGATTTCCAGGTTTCATGATCTCCAGGTTTCATGGATCTCTAGGTTTCTTGGAACTTTAAGTTTCATGGAAATTAAAACTTCAGGTTTCATAAAACTCCAGTTTTCGTGGAACTCCAGGTTTCATGGATCTCCAGGTTTCATGGGACTCTAGGTTTCAAGAAACTCCCGGTATCATGGAACTCCAGGTTTCGGAGCTCAAAATTTCGTGAACTTGAGGTTTCATGAAGCTTTCATTTACGGAAACTGTAGGTTTCATAGAACTCTAGGTTTCATGGACTTCAAGGTTTCATAGAACTCTAGGTTTCATTGACTTCAAGGTTTCATGGAACTCCAGGTTTCATGGATTTCCAGGTTTCATGGAACTCCAGGTTGCATGGAACTTTAGGTTTCATGGAACCTCAGGTTATATGGAACTCCAGGTTTCATGTTATGTTTGTTTGTTTGTCCGATCACAACTCTTGAACCATTGAACCAATTTGTCTAAAAATTCTATTGGGGAACTCGATAGAATCACAGGAATGTTCGTAGCTTGGTAAAGAAAATCTAAGTTGAGTGGGTTTACTTTAATGGGGAAAATGTAATTTCCAGACAAAGCAAGGTAGCTAGCTAAATAAGTTTTCACTATATTATTATTTCCTGTGTAATATAAATATAGATTTAAAATCTATATTTAAGTTTGTTTACTAAGGCACCAAAAGACACATTAAATCAATATATTTTATAAAAAACCTAATTACTGAAAGAAGAAAAAGAGTTGTTAAACTAAACATGACATGGAGTTAATATGTAAGTAAAGAAACGGATTACTCACATCGTTTTGTATTTTTGTACTTTTGAACCTTTTGTTTTATACTAACGAGATTTTAGTGTATAGAGTGATGATGTACGCTAATCCTTTACACTAAGTATATAGGCCTTAAACTATACCGTGAGCGTACTGCTTATTATAAGTTGATTCTGGCCTAACCTTAGTATATCAATATTAGCAAACAATTGTAAGTGTACAGTACAGCTAACTGAGCACACAGGTAGAGAACTATCATCCCCCTGTTTTAGACCGTCTGTTAGATGAAAATGGTTAACATTATCAAAGGCTAGCCAGAGCGAGCTGCATTCGGTTTCTCCTTTTCAAATTCAGTCACGCGTTGGTGTTAATTCAACAATCTTTAAACTTATGTAGTTTTATTGTCCTGTTACACGGTTTTGTTTAAAACATCCCGACAAATATAAAAAAGAAAATTGTGTTTAACAGTTCTAATTCGGTTCGAAAGTCACAGTTCTTCGGGATAAGACCCGAACCGTTAAATCCGCGTGATGGATTTTAAAATAGTAGTTTGTGGAAACTAATCACTGATCAGTTTCTTTAAATATTGTTATTCTCACAGATTCATTAAAAGCATTACAGTTAAAACAGTTCCCCTTCATTACTTTGTTACCTGTGATTTTAAATTTTCATTTAAATACGGGTAAAAATATATAATATCTATTCTTTAGCCATTTCTTTATGTAATGAAACGTAATTTTAAATGACACTTCAAAAAATAGAAATTTGTCAATTTAAAAAAAAAATCACGTAAATTCAATACATTTTCTCTTAGACAAAGATTTGAAGTCCTACTTAAAGTCTTTGGTTTTTTAATGAAAAATGAAACTAAGAACATTATAAATATAAATTCGTGGATTTACATTTTTAATGATTAAATTTAACTAAAGTTAAATTTGATTTAAATTTCAGGATTTGCACACGGCACTGGTGGTTCTTGGACTAAATCCAATGGAGCAGGTTTAAATAATCTTTTCATTAATCATTTCTCAACTATAAAAAAGGGATTGTTATCTTTTAAAGGGACTGTCGAGGTAATTCCATGTAAATCTAACTAAAGAGCTACTTACCCGATTCACAATACTACCCTTTAAACCTTTAAACCTTTAAACCTTTAAACCTTTGAGTATCAATGGGATATCAAGCATGTAAACTTTAAAACCTTTGAGTATTAATGGGATATCAAGCATGTAAACTTATTAAACCTTTTAGTATTAATGGGATATCAAGCATGTAAACTTTTAAACCTTTGAGTATCAATGGGAAATCAAGCATGTAAACTTTTAAACCTTTGAGTATCAATGGAATATCAAGCATGTAAACTTTTAAACCTTTGAGTATCAATGGGATATCAAGCATGTAAAACTTTAAAACCTTTGAGTATCAATGGGATATCAAGCATGTAAACTTATTAAACCTTTGAGTATCAATGGGATATCAAGCGTGTAAATTTATTAAACCTTTGAGTATAAATAGGATATTAAGCATGTAAACTTATTAAACCTTTGAGTATAAATAGGATATTAAGCATGTAAACTTATTAAACCTTTGAGTATTAATGGGATATCAAGCATGTAAAATTTTAAACCTTTGAGTATCAATGGGATATTAAGCATGTAAACTTATTAAACCTTTAAGTATTAATGGGATATCAAGCATGTAAACTTATTAAACCTTTGAGTATCAATGGGATATCAAGCATGTAAAATTTTAAACCTTTGAGTATCAATGGGATATAAACTTATTAAACCTTTAAGTATTAATGGGATATCAAGCATGTAAACTTATTAAACCTTTGAGTATCAATGGGATATCAAGCATGTAAACTTTTAAACCTTTGAGTATCAATGGGATAACAAGCATGTAAAACCTTTAAATAAAGGGTCAATTGGATTTACACGAACTGTCCTTTAAAAAATTAACACCTCCTTTTTAAACTTTAGAAGTAATTCTAATTTGAAGTTTATTTCTCTTATTTTAAGATTAGCAGGTGTGCACCGAGTAATTTTAATATAAAAATAGCATCAACATAAAAACATCATAAATAAAAACAATATAAAAACTTATTTTTTTTCTTTTACAAACGGTGGAAAAACTATATTCTTCTTTTCTTATAAAATTAATTAGGTTGTTGAACAAAATTCTTTGAAATGATTTTTTTTTCATAAACTCATAATTTCTTATTCCAATTTGTTGATAAACATTGATGTTAAACTTAGAGTATTTGATCTAATATCAAATAGTTTAAAATATCAAAAGTCTACAACTAGGATAAAGGGGATAAAAATCAGAGTTTGTGACAAAAACTTAAATTTTCAATCTGTAATTTTTCCTTTTTTTATAACTATATTTATAGATATGATCAAGGATCAATGAAACCCTAAAACCCCCATTTTTTATTAAATTTTTTTATCTCATTTTCTGCAGGAAGTTATTGATATGACAAATGAGATTGCCAAAAACGGATTAATATTCTTTCCAGAATTCTGCAAGGTAAAATTAAATTTAAGTCGTGATGACATCTTATTTTAAAAAGTCCAAAACACAAAAAAATGTCCGATAAAACCTTGCATTCTTTCAGAGGCGCTATTAACTGTGGAAGGGTGTGTGGGGAGGGGGGTTATTTAAAAAAAGGAAATGTACAGAGTAAAAATAGAGGCAATGTTGACAATTTACTCAAAAATTGTTTAATTTTTACAAAAAGTTTCCGTTTTAAAACCCCGCCCCCTCTTCCATCCTTAAAAAAACCCTTATCTATGCATTAATATTTACATATATATATATATATATATATATATATATATCTTGTTAAATATTACGTCTCTGAATAAAATGTGACGGATTCCTTCCTTTAACCTAATAAATAAATTCTAATTAAGATCTTGTATTATCTTATCAAGTTTCGTCTATGTTGTTTCTCGGATTTTAATTTATAAATTTTAATTATATTCATTATTCATGAACTAGAACTAGAACTAGAACTAGATACCGCAGTCCGCACTTTCTGTAACATTCATAATGATCCAAACAGTTTTCAAAATTATGCACCAACTAACGGAGCCGTACCAACTAAAGTATTATGCCTGGGTCCTTTGTCTTACTTTTATATCCTTTCAGTTTTGAAAGTTATGAATTCACTTTTGAGACCACGCCGAATGTTGAAGTGTCGCCTGACCTTTGACCTAATCCATAAATTATAAAATTTTTCAGCTGTTGACATGAAAGGTTTTAATGTCACCAGCTTGTTCCCAGATACAGTCTCGTATATATTTTGGAAAATCCTAATTTTTTGCTTCAAAATGGACAAATTTTTGTTCGCAGAGCATTAAATAAGTGTGTTTCAGCTCAATAATGTAATGTTTGTACAGTGAGAACCAGAAAACTGTGGAATAGGAAAATGACATTAAAGTAATTATGAAGTGTTGTGTATTTCATGTTTTTACAAAACGAATAAGCTTACCAGAGTCAGAATTTAATGGATTTGAGCCGCGTCTCAAATCCCCTAAAAACCGGTTTCAATTGAGCGCCGGCTTAAATATTGAAACATCGAATATGATTTTAAGTGGAACCAATCATATTTGAGCCGCGGCTAAAATCCTTTCAATTCGGCCTCAGTAATTTTTAATTTACTTATTAAGTTAAATTGGTCTGCTCTGCTTACACTGCTCAATTGCTGTATATGATGTTTATTGCACTATTTAAAGTATAACTGGAGTCTTTAAATCGTTTTTTTATTCCAGAATATTCTGGTTCTCTGTATAAGAGATGCAAATAATCACGATCACGTTTGTACAAAGCTCATCTCATTCATAACTGTTGGTCCGTATTAATATACGTAACTTCAAGTGATCCTGTAATTAGAGACCGGCATATCCGACATAAAACCATATTTATCTTTAATAATAGATAATAAGGAAGATGTCGTTATTCCACAATTGAAGAAATTAGTTTTAGGCTAGGAAGACATAAATATCTCATTCTTTGATCAGACAAAAGTTTGAAATGGGCACTCGACTCACTCTATAAATGGAGAATTACTTGAAATTACGTTTAAGTGGATTATATATACTGCCACCCATTGGGGAGTTTTCGAACTAATTCACTTGTCCACTGTCCAGGTGGTTCTGCGCAAGTTTAGAGAAGACGATGAGGAACAATTTGCACAAGTAATGTTTAAGGTAAATCATTTTTGAGATTTATGAAAATGTTTTCAAGTTCTGATTTCATTTCTTTAAGCCCATTTTCGCTAATAAAGATTAAAGTTTTTGGAATAAAAATTGTATTGTCTATAAGTATTTATTCGATTTCTTGGGTGTTTTATTTTGCGTCTCGAAATAGAAAAGTAATGAAATATTTAGCGATAAAACAAAAAAATTACAAAATTTTGATTTTTTTAATTTTTGCCATTTTTTTTGTTTAGATGTTATGTGGAACAGACCCCCTTCCAGAACTGTTTAGAGCTAAAAAATATAAAATTCATGACAGATATTTGAACAAAACAGACTTCAAGTTCATTATGAACAATCTACCTATCCCGGTAAATATATTTAGTAAAAATATTATCATTATTATTATTATTATTGTTATTATCATTATTACTATTATTATCATTATTATTATTATTATTATTATTATTATTATTATTATTATTATTATAATTATCATTATTACTAAGGTAAGTGAGACTGATGTAGAAGAAATGTTTACGTTTGCAGACAAGGATAATGATGGACGAATCAGTTATAAGGTTATAAAATAATAATAATTCATTTCTTATCTAAGTCATGTTCAAATCACAACGACACACATTAAACCGTTTCTTGAACAATTGCGTTCCCTAGCTTATGAAAAGCGTTTAATTCGGACAATTCCATACATTGTTTCTCTTACACAAATCATAATTAAAGCAGCCCAACAATTGTAAGAAATTAAGTTTATAATTTAAAAACATGGTTATATCATTCAATCTTGATAAAAAAGCTATAAAGGGAAACATTCTGATTTTGATATGCCACTATATAAATGAAAGGTTAATTACACCTACAGTTTCTTTTTAAAAAAAATTTGATAAAATTTGAAATTCTCGAAGGAATATGCTTAGAAAGTTTTGATTTCTATTCTAAAGAAAATGATTTTTATAATTATATAATGATCAACCCTCCTAAACCTAGATATTTCAGGAGTTTAGAATAATGATCAACCCTCCTAAACCTAGATATTTCAGGAGTTTAGAATAATGAACCTAGATATTTCAGGAGTTTAGAATAATGATCAGCCCTCCTAAAACTAGATATTTCAGTAGTTTAGAATAATGATCAACCCTCCTAAACCTAGATATTTCAGGAGTTTAGAATAATGATCAGCCCTCCTAAAACTAGATATTTCAGTAGTTTAAAATAATGATCAACCCTCCTAAACCTAGATATTTCAGGAGTTTAGAATAATGATCAACCCTCCTAAACCTATAGAAGGACCTAAACCTACTCGGAAGGATCTTCAACTAAAATATCAGGTATTGTAAATAATATAAATTGAATTAAAGGGACTGTGAGCGTAATTTCAAGTGATCCTCTATGCAAAAAAGGTAATTTCCGATTCACAACAGTACCTTAAAAGTTTTGTCGATCAAGTATAAAGTACGTAAAGTACGTATTGTTTGTAATTTTAAAAACTGGTAATTTTCAATTGTAGTTTTTCTACAAAAGTGACTTGGGTAATTCAACTGCAGGAAAACATATGGAAATTAACAGAATAAAAACTTTTAAGCTTAGAAAAACACGAATATCAGATAAAGGTTACAAAAGTACCGTTGTAAATCGAATATTTTCACCTTTGGAAAAAGTGTTATTTGAAATAACGCCACAGTCTCTCTGAATTCAAAAAAATTCTTTTATTATTCCACGGTCTGAGATTATAACTACATTACATGTTTATTACAAGAAACATGTGTTCAGTTCAATATCAATTGAAGACTCTAACCAATTAAATATATTAGATATTAATGCAGTATATTAGATTAGATACATTCAAAATACATTTATTGTTTCTCAGCTCTTCTATAATTATAGTTATAGTATTTATTTTCAAACACAAAATATAAAATAATAATGTAGGATGGTTAAGCTGAAAGCAAAACAAAGAAGAAAATTTAATTTTATCTAATTTAAAGTATAATTTTTAATAATTTGTTCTAATCTGTATTTATAGAAACCGCAGTTGAATAAACATTCATTGTTAGTTTACAAGTTGATAATTATTCAGATCTCATTTTCAGGAATGCATTCAGTGTACTTATATATACATATTGATTCAGCAAAAGAAGCAATGTATTCTTGTTGACTTTGAAATCCACCTTTAACAAAAGATGTGAATCCATACTCATTGACATTAAAAATAACTATGACATAGAACATATTGTAATGATATTTGACAGCTGGTTAGGGTAAATAAAATGGTCGTTGGCTTAAAACTCCTAGTTCCTAGTTCCTAGTTCCTAGTTCCTAGTTCCTAGTTCCTAGTTCCTAGTTCCTAGTTCCTAGTT